GGGTCTTGAGCACGCCTATGCCCAAGAAGGGCTGCCAGGACAGGCTCGCTATGGGAAAGCGTAGCTCCATACAGGGGAGCCAGGACGTGGGGCAGACCTCAGGCTCCTGGTGGAGGCAGGGAATAGGAGGGTGGGGGTGAGGGGGCAAAGGCACAAAAGTGCTCCTCTGGCTTAGGCAGCTCCTGGGTCTCACAGACTCCTCTCCAGTCTGAGGTCAGGGGTAGGAACTGAGCTGTGGGGCCCCTGAGGGAAAGCTCTCCTCTCTGGCCTAGCCAGCTAAGAAGGGTTGGACCCTGGGAATATGCTAATCAGTCAGCAGGCTGGTCCCAGTTGGGGACAGCACATCTGGAGCCTGGGGCAGCCTGGTTGGAAATAGACTAGGATAAACATTCGGGAGTCCCCTGGGAGCAGGAAGCCAAAGCAGGCAGCGGGGGCTGGGGGGAGTCCTGGATGAGTTGTAACCCTGCCAGACGGGGCTGGAGGTGGGGCAGCAAGGAGAGGGTGAACAGTGGGGCCACCTGGACTGAGAATCCACAGGAAATGACCCCCTTGGGTCTGGAAAGAAAAGCAGCTCTCCTGAGCCTGAAGAAGAGAAAGGGACTAAGCTGGTGGGACCTCTCACTAAATCTGCAGTGACAAAGGACAGACCCCTGAGAGTCACAGGCTGACACCCAAATCCTTCTCTATTCCATCTAGGATCATTTCCAAGCACGACCAGCTTTGGGTGGGAGTCGGGGTGCGTTCCCTGAGTTTGGAACCCTCGCTCAACCACTAATGAGATGGGACTGGCCATGTCACTCACCCTTTCTTGTCTTGCTTTCCTTCTCTCTAAAAGACAGGACTAGATTCCTGCCGGGTCTCAAACCCTTCAGATCTTCTGTATTCATTCCTTCACCTCCCCTCCTTCTTGCAAAGCTCACAACCTCCCTGCTTAGAGCCAGCTGGGCTCTTCAGTTTCCTAGGCTGCTCCCTGCACATTCCCGACCTTTCCACCCCTTCTACCACTCCAGAGCCTGCCCACCTTGCTAGAAGAACACAGTCTAAAGACTGGCAGTTACTGTGCAGGCCGTTTTATAAAATGCTTGATAGTACCCTAGAAATAAGAGGGTTTATGATTATATTCCACAAAAACAGGGAAAAAATACACACTGTGATTAAAACTATATAAAAATGTATATATCCAAGGAAGGGAAAAGTTACAAATAAAATGGGTGTTCCAGAGGAGCAGGAGTGGGATGGTTTGTGACTACGTTTCGAGTTGCTTTACTATGATTGCGATTTTCTTTATGATATAAACACTGCCTTTGGAATCAAAAGATCTGGTTTTCTGAAATCCCTTTTGTCCCACCTCTGCCTCAAAGCCTCCCTACCTCCAGCCCTCGATGACCTTTCCCTCTTTGAATTCCTGGGGCCTGAGTTCTCATCTATTACTTAATGGGAGCAGTGGGACACCGGGAGCACCTTGTGAGGGACTCTGGAGGTGGTGGCTCCCCAGGTTCAAGTCCTGGCCCTCCTACCCCAGCCACGCAACTGACCTTGGACAGGTTGCTTCAACCTTCCATGCTGCCTCGCATTTCTCATCTTTATCATCATGCTGACATTCCCGACCCACAGGTACTCTGAAGATGCCCTGAGATCAGAGAGCGAGCACTGAGCACAGGGCGGGGCTCTTTGTAAGTGCAGATGGGATCATTGCTGTTGGCATCACTGGCCCTCCAGTTGACGTATACAGAGTGGGTTCCTCAAGGCCAGGACCTGCACTCTGAGGCCCACTGCAGGTGCACGATAAATCCTCCTCCCCTTGCTCTTTCCTATGCATTCTAACTTCAGGTGCACCAGGCAGAAATGTTCCCAGTCCCGATGGGACAATAATCCAGGCAAAGGCAGACTGAGCTCTCCTTATGCCATAAAAAAGGATCCTGGGGCAGAACACTCTGGATGTTCTGCCACTAGCCATGTCAGGGCCCTTTAAGTACGCTGGAAAATTTCCTTCCTCCTCCTTTTCTCTTTCTATATATTTATTTATTTTTGAGGCAGGGTCTCACTATATTGCCTAGGCTAGTCTCAAACTGGTGGGCTCAAGAGATCCTCCTGCCTCACGTTCCCCAGTAGATGGGATTACAGGTGTGTGCCAGTGCACCCAGCATTAGGTTTCTTGATGAAGACCCGAGGCAAGAGGACATGGCACAGAGGAGAGAGCATGGCCTTCCCTGTATACATAAGCAGAGATGCCTTGGCTAAGATTCTTAACTTTGGTGTCTTGGTGTCCTTATCTGTGAAATGGGGAAGACAGAAAGGTCGGTTTCTTTGCGGAGCTATTGCAAAGACCACATGAGACAACATTTGGAAACAGGCTTTCAAGAGCACAAATGCCAAACACACATGTTGGTGATTAGAACTGCCATTTATCTGTCACTAAACACTGCCCACCCCTGCCTCCCACTCTGGATTCCACGACCCATTGCCACATCAAGCAAAGCCAGAGAGGGCCACTCATCATAGGAGCAAATGCCTGGAGCTCAGACAGTGGGATCCCTCTGGCTGGGCTGAGTGGGAGGGGGCCTAGAAAGAAGGGCAGCCATAGAAGTGGGCCTCTTCTCCCTGCCTTTCCTGCAGTATCCCCGAGAACCCGGCTGTACCACGAGGCTGCCTCCAGCTCCATCCTCAATACCTGCCGAAGGGGAGCAGGCCTGTGCTCCAGGGACGGTGCCAGTTCCTTTCTTGGACACCAGGCAGGAAGAGAGGTGGGATGAGCTGTGGGAACAGGTTGTTCTGTGGCTCTGTGGGGCCTGGCCTTGTGGGAACAGCTCGGTGCAGACTATCCATCCAGCTCAACATCCTTGTTGGCTCTGAGGGCAGTCACAGGGCTGGACTTTATGGGCTATGGCACATCTCAGGGAGGTACCTCCTTCCCTGAATCATAGGGGGCTGGTGAGATGGCTCTGTGGCTGCGGCCAAAGGGCTGTGTTGGGAGTTAGGGGGAGCAAAGCACAAAGGGATTTCAAAGTCCACTGGCTCTGAACTGTCCGCTCATGGGCTCAGGTCAGCTGGCAGCAGGAAGGTTTATGTTTCTTTTAATATCAACTCCCAGGCATTTAACATTCCTCGAAGCTTAAACACAGAAACATTTTCCTTAGCAGACTGTGCTTTCTGCTCTGCCAAACATAACCTGGCTGCTTCCCCCTCCCCCACTGCCTCCATCTGCTCCTGTCTCCAAGATGCAATGATTTATGGTGTGCTTCTCCTGGGCCTGTGAGCTGAGCGGGAGGGAGGGACATGGCAGGCTGAAGTCCAGATGGGAGATTACCACCTCCGTGCCCTGGACTCTGAGCTCTAGAGAGGTCGTGGGTCACGGTACCCACTGAGCTGACAGCCCTGGACACCCTTTCTACTCTTCCATTCCATAGCACTGATGGAGGCTGCTCATGTCTCTTGGATGGATGTCCCCTGGAGGCTGGACAGCCCATCCTAGAACTCCTTCCCCGCCTGTCCCTCTGGCCCAGCCCAGGGATGTGGAGATGGGGCTCCCACTGCTTATCCCTGCAGAGTAGTTTCTGGGGACTAGATTTAGAGAGCTTTCTCGCTTTATCCCTAATTCCCGAATAATGAAAGACTGGCTTCTGGTTGCCTAGCAGCGCTGTCTCCCTGGCGACGGTGCTGAGGAGCAGGGTGTAGGTCCCATAACATCAGGAAGGGACGTGCTCAGGATCATGGGTGGCCTAAGGCAGATGGCTAGGCCTCTACTAAATAGTGCCATCCCCCTGAGACAGGAGTGGGGGAGTGGGAGACCCACACAGGTCCTAGTGCCACCAAGAATACCCAGTTGAGGATCAGATACCAAATTTCAGCTTCGCCATGCATCAGAGAACAAACACTTTCTGCAAAAAAGCCTCACCCTATCATATAGCCTATACCCCATCCCATGGGGGCAATTGTTAAGAGACCAAGAGCACCCAATGCTCAGGCCTCCCTATGTACCAGTTATCATTTCCCTTGATTTCAATTCCCACTTGTATCATAAGCATGAGGTCACACAAGGTGCCAGACAGGAGTGTGGAAAGCTCCACACTGAGTGTTATCTGTTCCCCAAGCTTAGTTCTCCTGACAGATAAGTAGATAGCAGCCATCTTCAAAGCTGAAAAAAATGTACTAGACATGCAAGGTGCAAGCAAGGACTTTTTCCTTATATACATTTTCAGGGCATCAAGAAACAGAGCAGAGCCAGGTGTGGTGGTGCATACCTATAATCCCAGCAACTCAGGAGGCTAAGATACAAGGACTGCCAGTTGGAGACCAGCCTTAGCCACTTAGTGAGGCCCTAAGCAACTCAGCGAGACTCTGTCCTAAAATAAAAAGGGCTGGGGATCTGGCTCTGTGATTAAGTGCCCCTGGGTTCAATCTCCAGGACCAAAAAAGAGAAACAGTCTGATTGAGGATCTGCCTCTACTGAAACCCAAAGTATCTTTCCTAAGTTGGTGACTCCCAAAACTCAGTTGAAAGACAGTCCAGCAACTCTAGCAACAAGTCAGAGACCAGCCCCAGGAACCAGTAGGATCCAAGCCCTTCTGGTAGAATAACAAGCGCTCGGGGAATGTGCCTCATTCCTATCCGGCATCTATGGCAGAATTGCTCATCACAGAGCATTCTCCCGCCCCCCCCATGCTCATGACGCAACCTCAGAATCCTTCTCAATATCGTGTTTTGGAAAAAGCCACCAACAGACTGAAACTGGAGTGTGAAAACTGTCATCCCTCAGTTCCATCTGCAGAAGTATGAATGAGTCTGCCGTAGTCCCACAGGTACCTGGATGCTCAGTAAGAAGCCGTCTCTAGGAAGCATGAACCACCACCTTGGGGAATTTTTTTCAAACCGGCTTTGAACTAAAGTCACAAAAAGCCAAGCACCTTAATCAAGAAGACAAGACCAGAAGACGCCTTCTCAATGGGCACCACAATGCCTGGCAGCTCCCCAGGCCTTGCCCCGGGGCCCTGGACTCTCACCTGGATCTGCCCTTTGCCCATGATCTTGTCCACGATCTCATTGTTGTCCTTGTTGACCTTGGTCTTGTCATAGCACTTCTCATAGCACAAGATCCTCAGGGATTGGGAACCCTCCAGCTCGATTTCAAACTCCTGGGGAAAGACGGGACAGAGGGTCTTCAACCTCGGAAGCGGGGGCGGGGGGGCACAGGGCTCCTTGGCAGGTGCGGGCCTCAGCTTTGCAAGGCTGAGGGTGAGCGGGGCCCAGGAGGAGCATATCACAAGACATGGAGGAGCGTCTCATATTCTGGAGCTCCCAGAGACCTCCACATCCCCGATGAAGTGGAGTTTGGGGGCCAGATCTGAAACCCTAGTGTCTGACACCTAATCGGAAGCCAGATGAACAGGGGATGGGAGGGATGGGTTAGGGAGACAGAGCTGGTCCAACCAACAGGCAATGGCCACCCCCCCCCCTCCAACAGATAGGTCATGAACACAGTGATTAGGATGGGCATGCTCGGTGACACAGAGGAATCCCTATAGGGACACCAGCCTCCTCCACTCACCTCATCCCACTTGGGCTCTGTTGTGTCCCGGAACACCCTGGTTTTGGCTTTACTGACAAAATAGCCAAAGGAATCCACCTCCAGGGTACAGTACAGGTCTGCAAGGAGAAGGGCAGACAAGACACACCAAGTGAGGCCCAGGAGGCCCAGGAACAGGGCTGGGGCAAGGGTAGTGGTGGTAAGGCCCTTGAGGGGACAATGCACCTGTCCCTTCCAGAGGCCCCTTCAGAAATGCTCTAAAACAGAGAGCTTGGGCTTAGGTGTCAGAAGGCTTAGAAATATTGATGCACCACCTAATAATACCGGGGCCACCCTGGAAAGTCCCTTGAGCCCTTTGAGCCTCAGCTTCCCTGTGTGTGAAGTGGGGATGAGTCAGTGACCACAGAGGGATGCCAGAGAATCAGGGCAGATAATGGGCCATAAAAGGCTTTGAACACGCCACGGCCCTGTCCACACGCTGGCCATGTTCTCTTTTCCTCCAGGTACACAGTAGGTGCTCTGTAAATTAAGAGTGTCACTCAGCCTTTCTGAGCTCCTAGTTTCCAAGGATCAAGGAGACCTGGTTCCTGCCTTCAAAGATATCAGTGGGGGAGGCCGAATTAGAAGTGACAAAACAGCATGACAGGTGCTGTAAACACAGTTTGCCCTGAACTGATGGGGACACTGAGGGGGAGGTCAGTTCTCCCCAGGAACTCAGGGAGGCTTCCCAGCAACGCCTGAGTGGCTGTTTGTGGGCTGATGACAGAAGCTCTGAAAGGGGTCTGCAGGGACAGGGACAAGGACAGATGTCACCTGCCAGAGGAAAGGGGCAGGCTGAGGAGAGGAGCCAGGAGCCCTGGGTTTCCGATTCTGTGTAATATTAAGTCCTTTTAGACCTGTTTCCTCACCTGGTAAATGGGTAAGAACTATAAACTGTCTGACTCACAGATTCCTGGGTAAAAAGTAGATAAATTGGACAAGTATAGTTTGTGAAATATTAAAACAGGTTTAGTATTACTAAATCTACAGTTCTGTTCATCTCCAGACTTAGGGGATGGGAATAGAAAAGGGATGGGTGCTGGCACATGCATACATGGTCATCTTTGAGTCCACTCTCAGGTCAGTGTTAACAAGTGTGACTCCCATTTATGGAGAAGGAAGCTGAGAGTCAGAGAGGTTAAGAAACTTGCCCAAGGCCACATGGCTTGGAATTGGCAGAGATGGGGTTGAAGTCCAGCTGTTTGCAGCTCCAGGGTTCAGATACCTGGAATGAGGACTTGGGGAGAAGAGATCTCCCTGCCAAGAGGAGCTGGTTCCTGGGGTTTGGGGGAATGCCCCACATCTCCAGGCATACTAGCTGGACTCCAGCCTGCACAGAGCATGGCAGAGCAGAGCAGAGCAGAGCAGGTGGGCAGTCCCACACCATGGGTCTTTTTTTAAAAGATGAACAGTGGCCACCCAACTTCTTCCTAGGGCAGGTAGTCAGGAGCACTTACTAGCTGATTGTTTAAACCCCTTGGCAGAGTGAACGATGACATGGAGGAAGCCATAGAGTCCTGGAGACTCATCGTCTGCAAGAGAGAAAAGCCCCCAGGGTAGGGGGTGTTGAGAAGCTCACCCCCAACTCTGTCCCAGGCTGGTGGAAAAGCTGCTGACCCAGGGAGATGCAGCCAGGTGGTCTGACAGCACCACCTGGTGGTTGGCTAAAGAGTTTGCAAATCCCATTGCTTCCTCCAACCCGAGCTGCACCAGGTCTCAGTGCCAGGCTGTTTCCCCCTGGGCTCAGCCCAAACCCACACCCGTGGGCCAGATATATAATACTATTCCCCAGGGCTACTTTCCCTTCCTCCAAATCCTGCTTACTCCATGGCCGCCCTCCTAGTTTAACCTTTCAAAGGAAAAACTAATTTGATCAGTCACTCTGGTAATGGAAGAGGGAAGGCTCAGTTCTGACCCCTGCTTGGGACACAGGGGTCCCTAGTTGATCCAAATAGACCAAGAGAATCTGGCCCTCAAAACCACTTTCAGAGAGTGAACGCTTTCCCAGAACCATGGGCAGCCAGAACCCACCTGCTTTGGGCCAGTTTCCAACCTTGAGAGCACTTGTCTCTGCTCAAAAACCTCCCCCCAGGTCCCCCACCCCCCACCCCCGACCCCGTTTGCATGACATCTGAACTCCCTTGATTAGCATTTAAGGCCTTCCAAGATCCAGACCCTGGAAACTTCTGGGCTTATTTCTCATATACTACCCTCTCCGTCCATCATCGTCCCCCCACCCCTCGGGCTTCAGCCTTTGGCTTCCACTACGGGACGGTCTCAGAAACTCCACACCATCCCAGTGCCCCAGGGTGCCAGATCCTTCTCTCACAACTGAGAGGGCTGAGGAGGACCTGGGGGCTCCATAGAGAGTAACCCCCATTTAAGATCTCTARGTACCTAGCAATAGAATCGCCCCAGCAGAGTTAACCGGAGATCAGACATCGGTAGCCATGGTCCTTACAGAAGGACACAGCAATGCCCTGGGGRCTTGCACCTGCTATTTGGGCTACCTCAGGTTCCAGATCTTACCATCTTTATTGCTGGTGACAGGAATGTTGTGTACAGTCCTAAGCTTGAAACAGGATCCCGTGAGTACCTGGAGCTCCACTGAGCTCAGGACGAAGGCCTGGAGATCTGCAAGAGGAAGCAAAGGAGGAAGGGGCATCAGCACAGGTTCACTAGGACCTGCTGTTCTTCCTTGGGGGCTGCCACGGGAAAACAAACAGCTTAGTTCTAGGGGTGGAGTTGGTCCTGGGGAGGTAAAGACTTGGAGACATTCACATGGGCCCAGTTCGGAGTGCTGTCAGAGGCCCTAGGAGAATCTAAGGGAAGAGGCTCAGGTATGTGTGTATAAGAGTAAGGGCAAGCGCAAGTGAGAATGGCAGAACCCTGAGCTCTGGGTCCAGGTCTATCACCAACTCATCGTATGCCTTAAGTGAATCGCTTGAATTCTTTGGGCTTCCGTTGATCAGAAACATGAATTAAGTGCCAAATCTCCTGGCATCTTACAGGATGGCTCTGAGGACTGAAGAAGAGCTACATGACATGAAAATGTTTGGAAATGCGAACACAGAGCAGGACAGGACTTTACCCTTCTTCTGTAGTTTCTGGATTGCTTCTCTCCACTCTGACCTCTCGTAGTCCGAGGATAGTAAGAACAAGTAGCTCTGAAGAGAGATGAGAATTCAGTGGGGTGACCATAGTCAGGCCAAGCATATTCTCAGATTCTGGGGCTCCCAGTCAAGCTCTTTACCCACACACCCCTGAGCTTAGAGGAAGCAGCTGGGAGGTGGGGAGGTGGGGGGTGCTCCTTTCTGGGAAGCCAGGTGACAGGAACGACAGTGCTATTGGTGGCCAGCAGAGGGCACTGGTTCCACACCAGTAGGAGAGAGTGTTCAGGGCTGGAACCACAGCAGCCTCATTGGAAAGGGGGGGGGGCCCAGGAGCCATGGAGAGTGGGCTGCCCTGGACCAAGAAAAGGGGCTATCTCTGTCCCAACTCCACCCTTCCTGACCTTTCCATTCCGATTGTGGATCCGAAACGGGATTGTGGGGGAATTGAGCAGCAGTAAGAACTCATTCTCAAACATCTTCTTTTTGAGGCGCTCGATGGCCCGGCTCTGCCCTTTGTTGGCTTTCTGTAGGGGACGAAGCACAGATGGTTTCCCTCACGCTCAGTCCCCACTACACACTCAGCAGCTCTATGCACAACATCCCCCCCCTCCATGTATTAATCATGATTTTTAAATTTTTTTTCTATATTTTATGGTGCTTTGGCAGCTCGGGGGGCCTAGCTAGGTGAGGAGAAGCCACTCCTCCCAGGGCTGGCCAACTCCTAAGGTCGTAGATGACTCCCCCAAACCAACCACCAGACTCCAAATCCCCAGCCACCCCTCAAAGGCCTCTCACCCATCAAGCCAGTACTTCCTCTGTCCTAAATTATCAAGGTCAGGGACTAGAGACCACCCCAAGGCCCGAGCSCCCCCACGTAATTTGAAGTCGGCAATGCTAAGTTGTCCCCCCACCCTGCCCTCCTTCTTCCACAGAAACCTAAATAATGCGGTGGCACGGTAACCCGTGTTTTCCGCTTCTGCCTCCTGATGACCCTGAGGCCTCCCCCTGTGTAGTGTGGTAGWCCCCTTCTCTAGGGAATTGTAAGTAATAAAAATATCTCAGGGGCATTAGACTCTCTGCATTGTTTTAAAATTTTTTTTCTTTTAATATTCTTTTAGTTGTCAATGGACCTTTATTTTATTTATTTACAAAATATATGCAGTGCTGAGAATCAAACCCAGGGCCTCATACGTGCCAGGCAGGTGCTCCACTACTGAGCCACAACCCCAGCCCTGCATTGTTTTTTGATCACCTCTATAAATTAAATCCTGGGTACAATAGAGACACTCTGCTTTAAAAACCTCAGCCATGTCATACGAGGTGGCACATGCCTGTAATCCCAGTGGCTTGGGAGGCTGAGGCAGGAGGACAGCAAGTTCAAGGCCAGACACAGCAACTTAGTGAGATTCTATCTCAAAATAAAAATAAAAAGGGCTGGGGGTGGATCTCAGTTTTTGAGCACCCTTGGGTACAAGTCCCAGCACTGGGGGAAAAACATAATAAAATGCATAAGTATACTTGTATCTTTACATATATACCTCTAAAAATATATCTATATACACACGCGCATGTGTCCGTGTACATTTTGCAGAGCTGCCTTCTCCACTGGATGAAAAGCTCTGCTAGGTGTCTGGGATGCTCCTTGTAGCTAGTGGGGCTCAGTAGGCATGGGCTTGACTGAGCAAAAGCCTACGTCTGCACACTTTAGGCAGGAGGAAGGCATAAGACCTGCCAGCCCCCGGGCCTGGGAAGAAACATGCATGCAGGCTGCCCCTGGAGTGGAGATGATGGGCAGCAGCAGATGGGGAAGGAGGTGTCACTGCAGCAGGCCGGGGCCCAGCCCTGACGGAGGAGGACACCTGTGCTGGCCAGATGTACCCCATTGCCTTCAATCCTAGCACACTCCCCTGTCCCAAATACCCCTATAACTGTGGTCTTCTTTTCCCTGTTCAAAGAGAGAGATCTGAGTTGAAAGGACCCTTAGAGGTCATTTGGTAACTTATTCATCAACAGTTAATACATGAAGCACCTACTGACTACATGCTAAGTACTAGGGGCACAGAACTAGAGAAAACAACCCACTTACTGGTGTTCAAATTTTAGGGAGGAAGAAATAAAGCTGACCAAGCTGTTATAGTCAACACCAGTCAAGCAAAACCAGCCAGGACTGGGAGCAGGGCACCTAACCCGGATTATGGTGAATGGACACTGGAGAAGGCTTTCCAGAGGAGGCGAGGTGTAAGCCAAGCCTGGATGGAGGAGGAAGAGACCAGGCCAACCAAAGCACTCCATGCCCTACCTTCTGGTCACTGGGAAGCCTCCATCAATGTCCTTTCCTCTAGCCACTGTTTTCAAATGTAAGAATTTAAGGCTATGCATTTTCCTCTAAACAGTGCTTTGGTTGTATCCTCTGGGTTTTAACATGTGCAACTCCCATTTTCGTGTTGTTCTAAATAGTGCAGAGTTTCTTTTTTTGATTCTGTAAATTAAAAGTTTTAACTTTCCAGTCATTCAACTAATATTCTAGCCTTTGACTTCAAATTTTACAGCAATGTGGTCTATGGGTGTTACCTGTAGGCTATTGTTTTTAAATTGAAATTTCCCTTGTGGCTTAATTGTGTGTGTGTGTGTGTGTGTGTGTGTGTGTGTATGTGTGTGTGTGTGTATTGAATCTGGGGTACTTTACCACTGAGCCACATTCTCAGGCCCTTTTTATTTGAGGTAGGGTCTCTAAGTTGCTAAGGGCCTTGCTAAATTGCTGAGATTGACCTCAAAATTGTTATCTTCTTGCCTCAGCCTCCTGAGTTGCTGGGATTATGGTTGTGCACAACCACACCCAGCTCTTGTGACTTAATATAGGATAAATATTTATGAATGTGCCATATGTGACAAGAATCTCAGCACTCTGTCAAGGCACAAGCTTCTATGCATTTTTAGACCAAACATGTTAATTGTGGCATTGAGGTCCCTTCTCTCCCTGTTTATTTGCCTACTGGATCTGTCAGTCCTTAAGAGATCTCCCAAGCCTTTTCTTTTACATAAATCCTGCTTTTCCTTAAGAAGCCCTTCTTTTCTTCCCTTCACTAAATTCTGAGCACTCACTCCTTGGCCTTCCCACTATCTGCTCAGAGCTGATCTGCCTTAGTCTGGGGCTTTCTCTTATCACAGACATAGAGGGCTCCAACTCTTGTGTCCTGCCTCCCTTAGCAGATCCTCAAACCTCACAACTGCCCCTCTCTGTCCCCCATCCCCAGCACCCCTAGCTCAAAGGGACCCAGTCAAAATGGTCCCAAGGCTCAGCTGCCAGGTGCTCCTCACCTCCTTCTGGATTTCACTCTTGAGGGCAGAGATCTTCATTTTCATGTCCTCTAGCTCATGGTCTGGGAAGGGGTGCACGTGGGGGCTGGCCTCGGACTCCTCGGGGGATGGGAACACTAAGTCGGCCAGGGGGATGTACCACTTACAGTCATACTGCTGGTGCTTCCTGCAAACAAGCCCAGAGGGAGACGTGAGCCACAGGGAAGCTGGCTCTTCAGTCCTGAACCACTGGGCCCAGAACCAAAAAATGACCCAAGCGGGATCTACTGAGAACTCTGCAGAGGTAAGAATGATCGCAGCCGGAGGAGCTAGATCAGGAAACACACACATCGACCAGTGGCAGTCAGGTCTGGGGTCGGCCAAGCAGTGAGGGCTCCTCACTTTGTCGAGTCTTCAGATCCAGTAGGGCTGGTGTTTTTAAATATCCCAAGTCACTTGTTTATTAAGAAAAACAAAAGCCTTGTTGATTAGATTTATACTTTCCTATTCCCCATCCAATACGCTTCTCTCCCTTCTAGCCCATCTAGCCTTAGGCTCAAAGTCATTTTCCTTTAGGGTAGATGTCGGATACCAAGATGTTATTCTAGATGCCAACTCTGATTAACAGGAGGTCACACAGGGTACTGGATTAAAGATTATAAAGCTACATCCAAGCCTAGTGAGAAAGAGCAACATGGTTGATTCATAATGTCTGCAATGGGCAAAGGACTCAGGCAGAGGTACATATGCTGATTATTGCCATCTCTGCTTTAGAACTATCTCGAAGGTGATCTAGTTCCAGGGAGTCATGCCCTTTATTGAAGCTCATGAAGATCTTTCCTTCTMTGACTTACTCCAGAACTTTAGATTTGTACCTCTCATTCCAGTTCCTGATTGCTGCAGTGAGCACATGGCTTATCTGCCTCTATACTGCACAGCAGTGTACTTGGCACATAGTAGGTGATACGTAAATGCAGGTGGACGAATATGTGGATAAATACTGAAGAACCTTTCCTGCTCAAGGCCCAGTGCAGACCCACACTACTGAGATGGAGGTAGAATGGAGTTTTTAGTTTAGATTAGGGTTCAAATCCCATCTCCTCCACTTCTAGTGATCTTGGGCAACTTAGTAACCTTCTCTAGGATTTTCATCTGTGAGACGGGAATAATAATAAACATTTTGTGGCATTGTTGGGAAGATCAGAAATCATGTATTCAAAGCATTTGTCACAGCACCTGGCATGGCATAAGCCCTCGATAAATAGTGGCAGATTTAATGAATATTCACAGAATTGCAGTTAGCAAAAAATTTAGAGATGTCTAATAAAAGGAGAAGGCTTAAGTAAATTATGGCATATCCACTTGTAACATCATACAGGAAAGTATAATGATGATTATGAAAATCAGGCAGCAACGGGGAAAATGCTTATGACGTGAAATAGATGAAGCAGAGCCCCAAATTGGGCATTCACTCTGATTACAATTATATGAAAGAAAAAAAACAAAACATAATGATATTTAAAAAACTGGGAAGGAAATATAGCTGCAGGAGACAGGGGCTTATGTTCGTGGGCCTGACAGCTCTTTTCTATATGTCCTTATATTATCTTTATAATTTAAAGCATAATTTTTAGAAAAAGGCTCTGTAGTGAAATAAAATTAATTAATATACTTTTTATAAAGAAAAAAAAAACACACAGATTACCCAAGGTTGCTGAGGGCTCTACAAGAGCCAAGTGTCTGGTTCCCCCCACTGTGACCCTGGACCCCCTTCCGCACACTCACCCTGCGGAGGTCTTCTTCAGCTTGGCGCACAGCAGGACATCTGTAAAGAGGAAGACATGCCGCAGCTTCCGGGAGCTCTCCGACATTTCCACCAGGAAGCCGTCCTTCACCAGCTGCCGCGTCTGAAGGAGATGGCACCCCCCACCCCCAGCCTGCTCAGAGGTGGATACAGCTGAGGGCCCAGGCTGCACTGGGGACATGGCCCTGCTAGGGAGGGCAGAAAGGAAGGGCTGTATTACCTAGTGGTTAAGAGCACTGGCTTTGGAATCCTGAGCTTGAACCCCAGATTTTGCCACTTCTCAGCTGTGACCCCAAGCAAGTTCCCTGGCTTCCCATATCTCAGATTTATCGCTGTACCAGGAGGAGAATGTTATCTACCTGATAAATCAAGATGGTGCATAGGAAATAGCATGGTGCCTGGCACTTAGAACGTGATTGACAAATGGTGGCTTCCCCACAGCTCTCAACTAGGATGGACCCTAGTTCAGAATGACCTGGTTTCTCTAGCCTGAGCCGAGAACATCCTTCATCCTCAAAGAGCCTCCTAATTGAGTCTGAGAAGTTGATCTATTTTCAGTTCAACCCTGACCTGCAGACCACTCAGGCCTGTTTCCACTACTTCTCAGTGGATTCATGAATCTCCCCTTGTGGATGGGAGATGCTGGGTTTCCCTCAGTGGGGCTGTAGCAGTCCTAGAGTCACCTCTTGGAGTTTCCTCCCTCTCATCCTCAGAGCCAGTGGGCTTCTCTGGAGCTGTCGCATCCTAGCCCAGCCTCCCCCATGTGCACGACACACCGTGTGACCTACATATGCTGCAAGATGTGGGTGAACATGTTGAAAGGATACAATTAAGACGACCTGAAATTGATGGTGCTCTAAGCAATCTGGAGATTTCTGAGCTATCCCCAGAGTACAACAAACTCATGATATTCTGGGGCGTTGCAAACCAGGGCTGGGAACTGCACACAGAGATAGTTCCATGCCCCGTTAGTCATGCTCCAGACCCTGTCCCTCATTACTTCTCTTCCCAGGAGACACTGGAGGCTCATAAATGTAACAAAGGAGCATAAACCCAGTCAGCCTTCACTCCTAAATGCCACTTAATTACCTCTATTGGACAGGAAGCACGGTATCTAGGCCAGGATGCTGACCCATGAGGGTCACCGTCCCTCCGATTCTTCACATTGCTTCCCCTCACTGGGCTACCTTTCCATCAAGAAGGGTCCCCAGGAGAGCTGCTGTGCCAATCTAGGCACTCACAGGGAGCATCTCAGCAGCCTGGGCGATCTCAGAAATCATTGAGGCCAGGGTGTTCAGTTGTCAGCTCATCCCCAGCTCCAGCCTACCTGCTGTGCAGGCCGAGCTGAAGCTGCTCACAGTTTCTGTTCCTTAACCCTCCAGGGAGAGCAGCATACCAGAGGGGTTGTTTGCACCTGGAGGGCCCCTTCTCTGGTATGGGGCACAATGCTAGAGGCTTATAGCCAGATAGCTTCAATCCTGTTCTGACCCTAATGGCTGAGGGACCTCATGCCAGACCTGGAGAGACTCTCCAGGTTTCAATTTCCGCTTCTGCCTCCCTGGGTTATCCTGGGGATTAATGAGACACTGGACTTAATGCTATTTAGACCAAGGTCTGAAATGCTACAGGTAATGGTGGCAAGCAAAGACTGCAGACCTCACCTTGGCTGGCAACCAGAGACAAGGGGTAGAGAGGTACAGGACACTTGATAGTGACATGCATGTATGAAAGAGAGCAGGGGCATTTGGTCAAATGTCTGCTCCTCAGCCTAGGTGTGAGGCCAGGCAGGGTCTTGAGCTCACCTCCCCCTTGGGAGTAGTGACTGCAGTCCGGCGGGGGTCAATGTCTTCATTGATGCTGGACAGGAAGTTCTGAGAGATGCGGAGGGCATCCTGTAACAGTGGGTAGTCTGGGTGGTCCACAGGTGTGTGCTTCAGAAGATCCTGGAAAATGAAGGGGGCGGAGTGAGTTGAAAAGGATGATTCTGGGCTCTGTAAAATAGTGGGTAGTACCTAATCCTCACCAAAAGAATTCTGAGGTGGGCACTCAGGAACCCACACTCTAATCTGGTCATGCCTATTAAAAATCTGAACTAAAAATTAGGGTTGGAGCACTCAGGGTGAGGGTAGTGATTCCGATTAATCTTGCTGCATCATGACTGTAGCCTCATCTCACCAAGCAGCTGAAAGACACCCCTCTACCCACCCCATAGCTAGCTGCTCCCAGAATACCAAAGACCAGAAGTGCCTGCCTCCTAGGGAGCATTTGGCCAAATATCAAGCTTAGTAGCCAAGCTATATTTAGGCCCTGGCCCCGTTGGCATGGTTACTGTAGGCCAGGCAGGCGCAGTTGAGGCCCAGGGACCCTCTGCTCAGCTCCCCAAATGGGCTGTTCTCAGTGACTCCAGCACCCTCCCTCCAAACTCCTAACCCCTTCCTAGCCATTCAGGGGGCTTGACACTCACGTGTAGGACCAGGGTACTCCGAGTAACTCGGTCAATGGGCTTGTAGAGCAGAGCTGTTGGGGAAGGCAGGGAAAGGAGACAGAATGGTGACATATAAGGAACAACTTAAGACATGGGAGCTGGCTTCACCTCACAACCCACCTTGTTGCCCCATACAAACACCCATTTGCAGGGAGCCCCAGTGCATTCCGCAGTAACCTGTCCATCCACTCTCAGTCCCAGGGCATGCCATGCCACAGCAACAGGCGGACACACAGCCCCGGCTCCCTTACCGCCTCTGCCTCTGCATCTCACCGCCCATCAGACAGGACTTCTTTTTATTTGGGGGTTACAGGAAGACTGAACTCAGGGGTACTTAACCACTGAGCAATATCCCCAGCCCTATTTTGTATTTAGAGACAGGGTCTCACTGAGCTGTTTAGTGCCTCACTGTTGCTGAGGCTGGATTTGAACTTTTGATCCTCCTGCCTCAGCCTCCCGAGCTGCTGGGATTACAGGCGTGTGCCACAGCACCCGGCCAGACATGACTTCTTTGAGGGTCATCTCCCAGACCCTCCTGGCCTGGTCCAGCTCAAAGCAGATGCTCCTCTGCATGCTCCCCCACCTACACCTAGCCAAGCCCCTCAGGTCCAGCACACTCCAGGACTCTGGGCTGGGGAAAGGAAATGTTTTTTCAGGAAAGGCAGCTTCTCCATTCTCATGCTCCTCCAGTCAGAGGCCTGGCCCACCAGTGGGCGCAGCATGCTTTGCTCTGACCCACACATCTGGCCTCTTCTTTATGAAGAAAGACTTTTCTACATGCCCTTGAACTCCCAGGCAGAATGGGAAAGGCTGGGGGGCCAGGAGGCAGGCCAGACCTCAGCACTAAGTCTCTGCCAGTGGCAGCCTGAGGAGCAAAGACTTCCTGAAGGGATTTGATGGGGCCTTGCCTGTGGCAGTCCCCAAGAGGTTGGGCAAATGCAAACTCAGCCAGGTCCCCATGAGCCACACCCATCTGTGACCCAAACACATGAAGAATGCTGGGATTCAGTGGGGACAGGTGGAGGAAGCAGCTGGTGGCCCAGTACTTCCAAACATCCTTCTCACGAGCAGCTGTGCCCCGCTTCTCCCAACATGGTGGTTTCAGCATCGGTCCTGCACCCAAACGCCCCAGTCCATGGGCGAGACCTTTGGTCTCCTGCCATAGGAGCAGTAAGAGGTAGGACGCTGGTTTGGGAAGGACCTCAACTGGGTTTCCCATAGGACTAGGTTGTGCTAGATCCCACTCATGCCCTCGCCAGTCCCCAAACCAATGTGTCCCCTCCAAAAGCCCTAGATATAAATACCCTGTGAATTGCTAAGTAGACACTTCAGGGAACAATCTGCTGGCGACAGAGAAGATGCGGTCTCAGCGGTGTGCCAAGAGTCTTATCTGCAGTCTTTGCCTGGCTGCCCATTAGAATCACTGGGGGAGCTCTTAAAAGAAACAGATGCCCACCCCCCACCCCATCAACTAAACCCAAGTCTCTGCGGGCGAAACAGGGGAGCAGCACTTTTCAAAAAGCTCCTTTGCTGATTCTGATGCCCAGTCATGGTTGAAAGCCACTGCTTTATGCAAACACACTTTCTATGGCTGATTTGTAGCCCTTTCTTATCTAGCAATTTCTGGAGGCCCTCTCCATGGGCGATGGAGGCTTGTTGTATCCTGGGGCAGTGAGGTAAAGCCCAGTTACCAGCTCAGGGGGGCTCACTTCTGAAGCTGCTTTAAGGCACCCCCGCCTACTTGTGGCTCAGCCCATCTTCAGGGTTGGTAGGGGGGAGAATCACCAGAAGAGAACCCAGAGACACACAAGGAAGTACAAGGTCAGCAGACACCTGCCAGGGTGGGCCCTTGAGTTCCAGCCCCCGGGAAAGCTGATACTGCACTGTCAGCTACTCCAGGCCTCTCTCGAGTCCCAGGAGGAAGAGGCTTCTGTACAAATGGTGGGTTGGGTTTCAGAGGGGTTATTAATACGCTTGTAGTCACCTCAAGGGTCCACCTGACAGGGGCTGTGGAATGTGACCTGCAGCCTCAGCTTTGGCCGAGTGGGATGAGGACAGCTGGGAGGAAAAATGAGGAGAAGGAGGGACAGGAAGAGGCTCTGGAGTCACAGTTAGATGCAGAGAGGAAGGGCAACCCAGTATTTGTGTTCCCGTGGCCCCTGCACGCCTGCATCCCCTGGGGGAGGAGCTCACCCTTTGGCCCGGGAACTCCTGCCTGTTTCCCGGCTCTGGTAGGTGAGCCTGGTTTCCCCCCGTGCTGTACCCACTGTCCCTACTCCTCATCATGCCCTCTGGCCCAGCATACCCTCCATCCCACAGCTTGCAATGCTTGTCTCTCCCCCTATTCCAGAAAACCTCTCCCTGGACTCTCCCAGGACTTTTGCAAACAACACCTTCACTTGCCCCATAATCAGACCCCTGGCATGAACATGCTGGTCTCTCTTTTATTTGCTGGGAATTTGCTCTGCCAGATGGTACTGAGTTAACTGCTTGGTGTGCTTTAACTTTCTGTGATTCGAATGGGGAAGCAATTTTCATCGGCCCCAATTTACAGATGAGAAAACGGAGGCACAGAGAGATCATGTAATTTGCTCATAATCACAAAGCCTTAAGTAGTAGCTGGGTTTGGGATCTCAGTTTGCCCATAAATAATAATAGACCGCTTCTAATAGTGAGCTGTCTTTTTCCCTCAAGAGAGCGCAACGTCTGTAAAAGCTAATTGAATGACAGGAGGGTTCTCAGAGAGATTTCCCARGAGTAGGTAAGATGACCCCTAGTTACTAGGGTGAGCCCCCTCCTTAAGAGCTGGCTTCTTCATTCTTCATTCCCCACTTTGAAGCTGACYTCAAAGATGGCTTTGCAGGAACCAAAGAAACCCTGATAACCAGGTCCTGGGCCTGTTTCACAGAGACGAAGCTTTCTTTGTGGAGGGAAGAGGAAGGAAAGGACTGACCCCCTTTCTCTTTTAGGGAAGCAGAGCTAAGACCTGACCAACTCCTAGGCCAGATCGAAAAAGAGAATGTCCCCTCGCTCTCTGAACAATCCAATTTCAAGTCCTGCTCTCCTCTTGATCCCAGCCTGTCAGAATCTGCTGAAAGGCAGGGGACTGGCAGGACAGCTTCTGTCCTGAAAGTAGAGTGCTCAGAGCTGTCCACTGGGGCTGCTGGAAAGGCTGCCTGCCTCTGAGGCTGCTTCTGTCATGAGCAGACTTCAACACAGGTCAGCCCAGGAAGGTGAGGATGAGGGGGTCCTGCACAGCGTCCCCTGGGGGAAAGAGCCCAGGAAACCTCATCCATCATCTCTCCTCCAGCAAACAGCACCACCCCCCTTTAGTTCAGCCTTTAACAAGGAGCACTGGGTTACCACGGAGATAGGAAAGCAAAGTGATTGAGAAGAGCGCAGACAAAAAATGCCTGGTGGCAGGGAAGAAGGTCCTAAAACCAGCCACCTGCTGCTCCGACACACATGGGCCCAGAGCAGCTGGCCCGGAGGCCACACTTGCCCCTCACACCCTGCCCAACGTAGCTCAGGTCATCTCTAAGGTGCTCCTTGCCTTGGAGAGCGGGACCCACCTGCTTCTGGACGCCTCCCTGCCTAGGCCSGCTTTGGCCTCCTCTGAGCAACAGCTGGGCTGATAGCATATGTCTGTCCTGGGACCCTACCCCCACYACACATGCTTGGGGTCCCTTTCATTAAGGGGTGGGTATGTGACCTTCACAAAGAAGCAGCTGCCACACCCCCTTCTCCCAGAGCTGACCTTCTGTGCTGAGTGTGGGAACCTCAGCTCCAGGGTCTCCAGAGGCTAGCAACAAACCTCCTGGGAGGAACCCAGTCCCTCCCGGCTCCCCCAGCATGTCCTGAGAGAAGGCGGCATGTGCACAGAGCACACAATACCCAGGCTGCTCAACCTCCTCTCCTATCTCCGGAAACAAAGAAACTCCCAACTTGTCCYTCCAGCCCAGGCTGGCACGCTCTTGGTTCAAGGCACTGCTGTCCACACCCTCTGCCCCTGTCCACCAGGCCCCTGCCCACCCTCTCCCTGGCCTCAGGGTTCTCTTGCCTGCAGGTACAGCCTGCCACTTCATTTCCTTAGGAAGTTGCTCAAAGCCTCTCATGCACGCATTTAGCCACCAGTTCCCCACAGATCCTTGTGGGGGAACCTGGACCCTTCCCGACTGGCCCTTCCATTTCAAAGCCCCCCTGCCCTGAGCAGTCCCCAGACTTCAACTCCACAAGCCACAGGGCTGTGCACACAGGTCCAATCACTTGCCCAGCCTCCATTCTCTGCTGCCCCCCCCCCAATCCTGATGGTCACATTTAAGCCCACTCCAGCCAACCCTCCGCCCCCGCAGTGGGTTAATTCACACSGCCTCCCATGGAGAGGCGCCTGGGTTACCATAAGTGCAGTTACAGCAGAAGCGAATGATGAGAAGAATTTCCATGGCAGCCTCTGTTCCTGTAGCAGGGGCGTGTAGCCATCGCTCCCGGCTCCCGGCTCCCCTCAGCAGCCCGGCCACTTGGCCACCTTGCCGGCTTGCTGCTGCACAGCCTCCAGAATCAAGCAGCCGCTTCCTTCCAAGTGCTCCTCCAGCAAGAGGGAGGGCGGGAGGCGCGTGGAGAGGCAGGAGGAGGGAGGGGAGGGAGGAGGGACCCAGCGCCTGCTGGCATCCTAAGGAGGAGCACGTTTGTAGCTGGCCCGCTGCCTGGGGAGGAGAGGCTGGATTCCTCATGTGCGTGTATGAGGACGAGCCCGGGTGCACGGGCATGTACACACACACACACACACACACACACACACTCTCACACACAAGCAGGGAGGGCCTGGTGTTCACACACAGCCCATAGTTCGCAAAACCAGACAAAGGAAGGTGACCGTAAAGCAGCCCTATTCTCCAAAGTACCTTCCATGGTGACTGATGTGTGGCTGTCCTTGGAGTCCTTGGGCCCTTTCACTTTGAGTTCCTGCCAGAAAGAGGAGAAGAATCACTACCTGATCTGTCCAGCTCTCCCCCTCCCCCATTGTGAGCATAGCAGGAAGAGGGGCTTTGAAACGCAGGGAGACAAAGGAGACCCAAGGACATGGGGTACCTCTGCCTCACCACCTAGATTCCCTGGAGCCTCCTGAGTCCAGCTGCTGGGGTGTAGGCAAGAAAGGGCAGTCTAGGTACCAGAATCAGGACTATTTGGTAGGATGTGCTGAGGCAATGGGAATTCCTCAGCATTCCCATGAAGCCCCTCCCCGGCAATTCTTAGGGCCTCCCAGAGACTGAGAATGGATCCCACCCCCTAGTGACCCCTGCAGAAGACACTACTCGGAGATGTGTACATATCAGGCCCAGGGCAGCCAGAGTTTGAATGGACTAGCACCAGGCCAATCCTTGGGGCATTCAGTCAACTCCTAGGGTATGAATGTCCCTGAGATGAGAAGGGGTCTGCACACCTGCCCAGGGGGAGCAGGGAGGAGGAGTGCCTGGGGCAGAGATGCTAAAGGTCATAGGCTACACCCYCCCCATACAGCAGGGTCTCACTACCACCCCAGCCCCCGACACTCCCCATCACCCACGTCTGTTCTGGGACACGAGAGAAGACTGCAGAGAGGAACAGCCACAATGGCTTCCTGGCACCCATGCCAAGTAACCCAGGAATGAGTGCTGGAGACGAGATTCCAGGGACAGTTTATGGGATCCAAACCTTTCCTATCTGCTTTAGAGGGAGAGGGACCCCAGCCCTTGCCAACAGGACAGTGCAGCCTGCCATTGGAGCTGAAATGCAATCCCCATTTGGCAGGCTCAGGGCACAGAGCCTGGGCAAGGAGTGTCCCGAGAAGGCAGGGGMGAGGTGAGGCCAAGGTCAGGTACCCTGGTGATACTGCCTGCTCTGCCTGGAGGAAGGAAATGCCCAGACAGCAGGAGCTCATTTCCTATACTAACTGTTTCTAGACAGAGAAAACCCCTAGGGACTGAGCTTGGGGGGTGCCTGGTGTGTGTGTGTGTGTGTGTGTGTGTGTGTGTGTGTGTGTGTGTGTCTAACTCAGCTTCTCCAGGCTGCATCTCTCTCCCCATGCCTGGATTCCCAGCTTGAAGGAATTTTGTATCACACCCCCCCTCCAGTGCAGCCTGGAGGTATGAAATCACTCCTGCTGCAGAGGAGAAAGGCCTAATTGCAGTAATTAAGTGGCAGCGCCAGCAGGAAGCAACATCGTCATCCAGTGAGTCAGGATGAACAGCCACCTGGCGAAGGGCCATGGGCCTGGCTCTGCCCTCTGGGACAAGCCATCGTTGAGAGGGGTTTAAGCATGGGTGCAGGGAGTTCTGCCCATGCACAGAGAACAGGCAATAAGTCCAGGCTAAGGGGGAAACAACACTCTCTAGACACTCTCTGGACCATGCCAGCCCWGGGCATCCAAGTAGCTGTGTCAGGGACACTCTGAACACAGATCAGGGAGCTCAGTTGGTTTCTGGGGAGGGCTGGAAGCTTAAGGGGAAGCACTAGTTCTCTAACCTCATGACCTCACTTAGAGGGACTTCCCCACCCGTCACTCCATCCTCCTGAGAAGAGGGTAACTCAATTGACCCATGGGTTTGGGAGACGGAATGGAACCCAGGCCTCCCCTCGCTGTACTCTGAATTAGAAGGGAGGAACCTGTGGCTTGCCATTCCTGATAGATTCAATAGAGAGATACATTTACTTTCAGAGGTGAAGCATTAGCAAGTCCCATGTGGCTATGGATCCAAAGCCACGTCTTCCAACCCGGCTTTTTCTAATAACCGAGCTGACATTTTCATCTCTATCTGTCCAACTCTTGTGCGACCTCTAGGTTGATTCCAAACCTGGGCATAACCCATAGCCCCCGTAGTTTCAGGAAAATGATCCCATGTCTCACCAACTTTTCTGCCATCAGAAGTGAGACTGGGAAAGCAAAGGGACTAGGGGGACTTTCTAGTAGGACTTCCAGAACTATAAAAGTATATTGTCTCCCAGAAAGAGGTTTCCTGGCCCTGAATTTGAACTGGGTGYTTTCTACAAGGCCAGTGGTTAAGGGGTGTCTCTGGGGTCTTTTTTGAATAAAGAACAAACTGGGCCGCAGATCCTGGGAATCCTATTCTGATCCCCTCCCTGCCACTTTCTGGAGAGAAGTGCCAGCGGCAGGCAATGCCATGCTTCTAGGTCTTGAATCTTCCTGGTAGTAAAAAGTTACCCAGGAGCTCGTTAGAGTGTAAACTGTGGGGCTGCACCCCAAGACTTCTGAAATCAGAAGCTGCAGGAAAGGTGCCTGGAGATCTGCATTTTGAATAATGCTCCTGCTAGTTTGAGACAAGGTGCACAAGTCCAAACAGCTCATTCCATAGGAGAGGAAACAAAGGCCAAGAGAAGGGAAGTGACTTGCCCAAGGTCACCATYATATAGCAGAATACTGCCTTTCTTTTTTCTTTTTTTGCCTTCTCTATTCCTCTCTCTAACCCGAAATGGAATTAAAAAAAAAAAAATCAAACCAATCGATATTTTTATATTAAGAGGAAAAATGTCAGGTGTAAGAAAGCAAATATCAGGCTAAGCGTGACCCATGAGGGGAACGGCTTCCCTGACTGGAGAACAGGGAGGAAACAGACAAAAGCTGGAAGGTTCTGAGCTGCCCGGGGTTGTTGTGTGGGGGAACTTCCTACCTCTGAGATCTTCTGGAACTGGTTGTTGGACTGGCTGCACTTCTCAGCTGTCTCCAGAGCGACTTTATAGTTATCCACAAATGCTTTGTACACACCAAGCTGGCTGGCCTGCAGGGAGGAGACAGAGAGTGGAGAGAGAGGAGGGTGGCAGGGGGCTGGGGGAGGATTAATGAATGGATGAAAGCTTAACCAGAGCTCCTGGAGCTCCCTCAGCACTGGGAACCTCTAACTCAGCTCCAAAGGGCTCGCTGGGAATGCGAGGAAAGGCAGGATGAACATATTACAGTATCCCTTTGAACTTGACAGTTTCCATGGAAACGGACTCAGCCAATAAGGTTAATAAGAGGGTACTTGGGGGGAGGAGAGCAGGGCAGGGCCTTTGTTGGCAGGCCAGAAATTCGACTCATCATAACATTTGGCTTTCTCTAGCACCATCTCAGGGTTGAAGCCCCCTCAAGGTCTCAGTCCTCTTTCATATCCTGTCATTAGCAGGAGCACAGGGAGACAGGGGAAGGGGGTGGACAAGGTGGCCTGCTCAGTTCCCCACTCCCCATGCTGAGTGTGGGGCACAGCATTTAACGGGGCCCCCAAGTCCCCGTCTCCTGCCTCACTACATATCTGCAGACCACTTGGGACCTAACCCAAAACTTCCCCTGACTTGCGACCACAARGAGCCTTGCCTCCTCGGGGGAGCAGAACAAATCCCGTCACCCGCTTTCTGTAAAAGGAGAAACGAAGGCTCCCTCGTTTGATTCCTTAAATATTTATGGGACGTTTCCTCTGGGCCGTGCATACATATTTTCTCCAAAGGATGGAAATTCAAACCAAAGCCACAATGAGATACTATTGCATACTGGTCAGAAGGGTTGAAATTYAAAAATTAAATGCTATCAAGGGTTGGCAAGAATGAACTCTTATAAAGTGGCATGTAGGTATAAGTTAGTACAATTATTTGGAGAGGAACTTGTCAATAATTAATAAAGCTGACAAYAGGCATGAGCTGAACCTACTGCACAGCAAATTCACCTCTAATTAGAAACCACAGTACTGGTTGGGGATGTGGCTCAGTGGTAGAGTGCTCACCTGGCATGTGTGGGGCACTGGGTTCGATCCTCAGCACCACATAAAAATAAAATAAAGATATTGTGTCCACCTAAAAAACTAATATATATATATAAAAGAAACCACAGTACTATGTTGCCCCACACAATGGCCACGAGCTACACATGGCTACTGAACACCTACAACATGGCCAGTGCAAATTGAGATGTGTAAAATCTACACTGGATTCCCAAGACTCAATGTAAGAGGATGTAAATTAYCTTGCCAATTTTAAAGTATAAATTAGATGTTGAAATGATATTTGGATCTGTTGGGATAAATAAAATATTTWWWAAATTTTTTTTTTAAATTGTAGTTGGACACAATACCTTTATTTTATTTATTTATTTTTATGTGGTGCTGAGGATCAAACCCAGAGCCTCGCACATGCTAGGCAAGCACTCTACCACTGAGCCACGACCTCAGGCCCAAATAAAATATATATATATATTTTTTTTAAAGAGAGAGTGACAGAGGAGAGAGAGTGACAGAGAGAGAGAGAGAGAGAGAGAGAGAGAGAGAGAGAGAGAGAGAATTTTTAATATTTATYTTTTTTTAGTTCTCGGCAGACACAACATCTTTGTTGGTATGTGGTGCTGAGGATCGAACCCGGGCCGCACGCATGCCAGGCGAGTGCGCTACCGCTTGAGCCACATCCCCAGCCCAATAAAATATATTCTTAAAATTAACATTACTTGGGCTGGGGTTGTAGCTCAGTGGTACAGCACTTGCCTAGCATGTGGGAGGCACTGGGTTCGCTCCTCAGCACCACATAGAAATAAATAAATAAAAGTATTGTGTCCATCTACAACTAAATGAAATATTTTTWAAAAATTAACTTTACCTGTGTGTTTCTTCCTTAATCTTTTATTGGGGGGTGTGGAGCAGACTACATAACGAGTATGCCCAGTGCCTGGCATCAGTGTTTGATTGTTTGTTTATTGTGGTGCTGGGATTTGAATCTAGGGCCTCACACATCCTAGGCAAGTGCTCTACCACTGGGCTACAGAATGTAAAAGAGGATGTAAATTACCTTGCCTTTAAAAAAGTGAAAATAAGGCTAGGGCTGCGAATGTAGCTCAGTGTTAGAGGGTTTGCCTAGCATATGTGAGGCCCTGGATTCAATCCCTAGCTGAGAGAGAGAGAGAGAGAGAGAGAGAGAGAGAGCGCGCGCACAAAGGAGCTCTGCCAGGGGGAGAGGGAGGATACTAGAACATTTAAAATTATATATGTGGCTTGTGACTTATTTCTGGTGGAAATCACTACTCTTGAAAAGCCTGCATGTGTGTGTGCCCAAGATACTCACTGTCTCCCTCTTCTTTCTTATAGTGGAAGGGCTGGAAACAAATGCTCATAAATACTGGAATTCAGACACACACAGCAGTTCAGATGAATGAACTAGATTTATATGTAGCGATACCAACATCTTATGAAGCAAATGTTGACTGAATTGCAAAGTGTGACATATGTATAAACCTATGCACATTTTGAAGGTACATGCAGTGTCATAAAAAGATATAGATATGCAGTAAAAATATAAACTACAGTATATAAGGTACACATCAAATGCACAAGAACAGCTGCTTCAGAATAAATGGGGAAGGGAAGGGAAGATTTCACCTTCACCTGTAAGAAAGAAAGAAGGAAGGAAGGAAGGAAGGAAGGAAGGAAGGAAGGAAGGAAGGAAGGAAAGATAGATATAGATATATTTTATTGTTGTTGTTGTTAAGAAAATTTTGCCAGGGACTGGAGGTGTAGCTCAATAGCAGAGGCCCTGGGTTCAATCCCCGAAAGAAAGAAAGAAGAAATGAAGGGAGGAAGGAAAGTAAGAGAGAGACGGTAAGGAAGTTAGTTTTGGTATTTATCTTCCAAGTTTAATATCTGTTAATTCTGGGAGGTGCCTAAACAGTTGTCTGCTGTTATTCTCTAGATTTTCTGGTTTAAATGTCTTTCTGATGAAGTAGCAAGGGGATACAGCTGTTGCCAGGCTTTGTCAGAGGCTTCTACTTCCCCGCCAAGGTGCTAGGAAAAGCAGGCTGTCCCAGAGCCCAACTCTGGTCTAYGCTGCTCCCTGAAGAATCCTTGGGCAGTTCAGGGATTCTGGAAAGAGGCTGGGCAGGGGGCTGGGTACCCTATCAGCTGGACCTAGAGCCTCCCAGCACCAAGACAGGACTTTGTGGAAGTTGGTGGAGCTGGGAGACAGGGAAGCCAGAGAGGACAGTGAAAACTGGGATGCCCGGAGAAACCAAGGCCAGAGCAGTGCAAGTCTCAGCTGCGCCCACCCCCCAGGGGGCGGTGGGTAAGACTTTTCAAAAAGAAAGCTTCTGGGTGGGGGCAGGAAGAAGTGGAGCTCCTGTTCTTCTGGGAGAGTCCTGGTTGTCTGTGTCCCAGGTTGTAGGAGATGCGCTAGACAACTGCTTCCTAAGGCAGAGTGCAAATCACTGAAGCCTTCTTCTAGGAAAAGGCTCTCCATGCCCCCCATTCCATGAAAAGGATGAAGCCTGGTGGCCTGGGCTGGCTGGCTCCACTGAGCCAGGRGCAGGGGCCATTTGTGCATAGGCTGTGTGCAGGTGTCATGGGCCATCCTAGGACTGCTGTCTCCACAGTCACCCTAAGCATGGAGGGCCCAAGTCCTAGTGTGCCAGGGTCATTAACTGGAAAGTGGACGTTGCTTGGAAACAGCAGCTTGGCACTGGAGTGATCTCATAAAACAAACAGCAGAGATGCTAATTCCCTTCTCTCGGTAATGAATAATCAAATATAGAGAGACTTTAGCTGAAAATAAACTGCCTCCAGATGCCCAGCTTACCCCAGCTCTATCTAGGCCCTGCCAACCCCATAGCCCCAGGAGCCTCAGACATAGGTTCATGAGGCTGTGGGTAGGAATCAAACTGAGAACCAGCCCTGTGGAGCTGAGTCCAGAACAGGAGGCTCTGTTGACAGCAGGGTCCAAGTGATAAAAAGAACTAGAACAGCCTTTCCACTCTCCTCTGGCTACTCAGCCCTCACCTCTGGTTGGCTCTCTWCTGCCCTCATGAAGGCTCGGGAGAGGCTTCCCCTCAAGTCAATCACTTTAGACTCCTGGGACCAGAAAAGGATGACTGAGTGTTCACCATCTCTGTGCCAGGGAAAGCATTTGGGTCCACTAGAATCAGAGGTGTGACGTTCCCTTGAAATAATGCCTTCTGTAGGTGGCACATGCCTGTAATTCCAGTGACTCAGGAGGATGATGCAGGAGGATTGCAAATTCAAGGGCAGCCTCAGCAACTTTGCAAGACCCTGACTCGAAAAATAAAAGGAGGCTGGGCATGGTGGCACACGCCTGTAATCTTAGCAGCTTGGGAGGCTGAGGCAGGAGGATCGTAAGTTCAAAGCCAGCCCCAGCAACTCAGTGAGGCCCTAAGCGACTCAGCCAGATTCTGTCTCTAAATAAAATAAAAAAAAAAAAAAAAAAAAACACAAAACAAAAAAAACAGGGGTGGGGATGTGGCTCAGTGGTTAAATAGGGGAGGTTTCATTCTAGGACTGGCTTGAGGAGCTCTAGCACAGAGAGAGAGGGAGGTGGTGGGAGGAAGGTACCTCTTCCAGAAGTACCCATATCCAAGGGCTGTTCCCACCGTACCTGGAAATACTCCCAGGGAGTCAAGGTTCCAGGCCCAGATGCCCCATAAAGCACACACACCAAGGCTTGCACCCAGGACTCWGAGATGACTCAGGCCTTCAGGAGGCTAAGAGGGCTCAGGCTGGTTAGTCCTCTCCCAAGGCCCAGTTCATTCGCCAACAGCCCTATCAGGACCTTGCATGGGGTTGCTCCCTCCGTGGGAGACTCACCAGCTTCTGGAAGAGGTGGCCCATGGTGACCTGGCTGTCCCACTGCTGCACCTTGGGACAGAGGTTGTCATAAAACTCCTTGTGGATCTCATAGATGTCCTGGATCTTGTAGAAGATGGTCTCAATCTGCTGGATGGTGAGCACAGGCTGGGACGTGGTGGCTGTGGCCTTCAGGGGTTTCATGGGCTGGGAGAGGAAGAGAAAGAAACAGCAGAGGTGGAGGTGAATAAACCAGAGTATCAGCCCAGTGCAGATCGTGGCACTGATTAGTGCTTTGTGCAGCCCAAGTACTGCCTCAACAAGGCCACCAAAGGCAGGGCACTGAAACGTGGTTTGTACGTTGGAGCAACTGTCACAGGCCCCAACAGGCCATCCACAACAAGGGTGAACGGAGAGCCAGAACCTGGCCCAGCAGTCAGCGCACAACCCCCACCCTCATCTGAGCTCACAGCATCCGGCTCACGGCCCCCTATGGGTTTGCAGATCGATTTCACAGGATCTGCATCTCCCACAATGGCCTCATACTCTGAGTCACAAGCTTTCTTGACACACTTCCATAGGAGGGAGGGTTGCCTGGGAACACAACTACTTAGCTGTTYCCTTTCAAGAAAAAGAATGTAGTTCTAGGACTTGAGGATTCACGACCAGCTCAGATTCACTGATAGTTCAGCTTCCTGTCACCTCTCACAGGGAGAGGAGCAGGTAGCATACACACCACCCTCCTACTTCCCACACCCGTGGCAGACATTGCTAAACGATTGTAATGATCTTTCCCACGGAGCATGGCTGCGTTCTCAGGCTCTCTCTCAATGCCCGAGTTGACGTGAAAATGAAACCTATCTATCATCCCCACTTGTCTAAACCAAGATGCGCCAGGACCTGCCAGTGGAGAGGTGAGGGTGACAGACGAGACAATAACACAGAACCATTCTCCAGCACTGCCTGGGATAATGCAGCCTGGGTACGCTCTCTTCAGTGTGACCCTCTATATTTTCTAAGTCGCCTACAATAAAAAGCTGGGCAYTCTAGTATACAACTCTGGTCCCAACTACTCAGGAAGCTGAGGCAGGAGGATCACTGGAGCCCAGGAGTTTAAGACCAGCCTGGGCAATAGCAAGATTCCACTGCAATCAATCCATCAATGAAATAAATAAGAGTAATAAAATGGATAAGTAGATAAAAATCACCTGCCATGAGTAAATATTCCTTTTACAATCAGAAACCCCCAAAGATGCCCAGACTGTACCATGAAGGCCCTGCAGGGGGACAGGGTCTGGAAACCTGCCATATGGAGAAGACGTGGGGGAAGGTACATTTACCTGGAAGACAGAAGCCTGAGTCAGATATGGCTGATATTCTCTCTGGTGGCTGTGTGGAATGGGGACCTAGACTTCGTTTGTGTTACTCTGCAGACCAAAGAGCCGAGGGGAGAACTGAGCCAGGTTTGAGCTCCCTGGAGCCATCCCCCCCCACTGTCTCCTGGATGAGGTAGTGAGCTTCCCAACAGGAACAGCATTCTAGAAGGGAAGGGACAACTCCCCTGCTGAAAGTGCTGCAGGTGGGGACACCCACACGGGGGGGACACCAAAGCTATGGCTGGCTCCCTCCGAGCCACGACCACCTGCTTGAGCTGGCCACAGCAGCCACACCTCCAGCCAGGCTCTACCCCATCCTCCCTCTGATGGTGGCAGAGCCCAAGTTGGTCCCCAAAAGGAAGTCTCCTCTACTCAAACACACACACAAYACTCTGACTCTGGGCTTCCTCTTCCTCTGAGCTCTACAAAGTCCAGACACAATGATGGAGGCAGGAAAAAGCAGACTCTCTTCTGCTGACCCTCTCGGTGCTAGAACCAATGACCTTCAGCATCGAGTCCTTGCTGGGAAGTGGGGGTGGGGCTCAAGCTGGGGCAGGCCAGGCCATGTGGGTTTGAGTTCCAACCCTGCTATTTAATAGCTGTGGGCAAGTCACTTACCAACCCTGGGCTTAGCATCACCAGTGGCCTCATTTGTAAGTGGGATAGTATTACTTTTTCAGGAGAACTGACAGGAAGATCAAAAGCCATGCTTTACATGAAATATCTAAGATGTGCCAATCAGMAAGTGTTAGCTGCTACTATTACCATTATTCACCCCACATATAATGTGTTGCATGTCCAACATGAGGCTAGGTCTRGGGTATTCAGTGGTGCATAACACACGCACAATTCCTGTCCCCATCTAGGTCAAAACCTAAATAAACAATCAAACATTTCATGACACAGAGCAGTAAGTGCAATGAAGGAATTAGGGAGGGGACCCTCTGAGACAGGATGGTGAAGGACAGCTTCTCCAAGAGGGGACATTTACCYTGGAACAGAAGCATGGGGGCCCAGTATTGCAGATAGACTTCCCTAATGCCTGGTCCTGAGGTAGGAATGAACTTGATGAAAAACAGGAGCTGAACAGGACCTTGAGCCATGTGCAGTGGGTAAGGGGAAAGAGGGGGTTAAAGCAGAASTGGATGCCTCCAGGCAGGGCCGGATCACACAGAGGAAGGAGTGCAGCCTCCAGTACTGGGGATTGTACCTGGGGGGCACTCTACCACTGACCTACATCCCCAGCCTTTTTTATTTTTTATTTTAGGATAAGTTCTCACTAAGTTGCTGAGGCTGGCCTTGAACTTGGCATCCCCCTGCCTCAGCCTCCCAAGTTGCTGGGATTACAGGTGTGCACCATTGCACCTGGAGAGAAGTACAGCTTTGATGGTGCAATGGATCATGCACTGACCCATATTTCCCTGGGGGGATACAGCACGTGAGTGATAGAGGTCAAAAATTCAGATTATTTTTTACAATCCATCATTTCTGCAATCTATTTGAGTAAATCAGATCAATACAAATAAAAACAATTTAGGAAATAATGCAAGATGGAGCTATTACCCAACTTGGACTATAAATATCAATCAGGTGGCTACAAGGTTGTGCTAGAATAGTTCAGGGGCTTCACAAAAGAGACAGGCAGGAGCKGGGCCTTGGAGGTTGGGAAGATCAGAGCAGGTCAGGGGCTGGGGGCTAGGTAAGCTTGCAGGCAGGGAAACAGAAGGTGCCAGGAGAAGGCATACTGTTCTCCCAAGCCCAGGCAGAAGGATGCAGAACTCGCCCTCGGGTGTGAGTTTATCATCTCTCTGCAGGATCCAGTGGAGGGGCCCAAGTTGCCAGAGTCCCAGAACCACTCATCCTTGACCTGCTTTAGTGCCATCCCCACTGCAGAAGGAATAAAGGAAATGAAGGGAGGGGGGAAAGTCCSGGGAATGCAAAAAGGATCAGATTTCTCAGAAGCTGCTGGGGAAGCAGACACTCATCTGCTGCCCATACAAAGACAAGGCACAACTACTCTGCTTCCTCCTAAACTTCCCACTCAGTCTACAAAAGGGGAAGAAAAGGAAGCTCGTTGGTGGTCAGTCACATGGACTGGCCTGCACTGGGGGCATAAACGGTTCTCATACCAGATTGAGGACCTTTGCTTCTACCCTTGATTTCATGTGTGGGGAAGGGGAAGGGCTAGTCCAGGTTCTTAAGGCCTGTTATTTTTACAGATAAAAAGATAYAGGCCTCAGGGGTAGGAGGGGCCCAAGGGCCAGGCAACCCTCACTGAGCTTTGACCCAGCACTTCTCTTTTGCCACAGAGCTAGCCTTTCGGGTACCTCCTSCCTCCTCCTAGATCCTGCTGCAGAGAGCAAGGGTGGGACCCTGGCTCTCCATTTTCTCGGGGAAGAATTCTTAGAGACAACTCCCGGGCCACCTCAACCCTGGCTCTTCATTTCTTCCTGAGGGCTTCTGCATGTCTGCTTTGTCCCCCAGCAACTGGCCTTTCAACACAGGGGAAAGAAACCTGCCCACTTCCTCCAGYTCCCACCCCAGAAGGCCTAGTGGCTGTCAGGCGTGTCTGCTAACCTATCACCTGGGCTCCTCCTCACAAGCGCCCAGGGAGGAGAGATCATTGAACTGTTGTACAGATAAGAAAGCTAAGATGCAGAAGGACTCTGAACTCCACAGCAAACTGCCAGAGTGAAAGTCTASGAGAAGAGGGCCAGTGGGGACCGTGGTGGCCACCCTGTCCCAGTGGTGGGATGTGCTGTGGACAGCAGCCCCACACAGCACAGGCAATACCCAGAAACCCAGCCCCAGATGCAGAATCACAGCACATTTGGTTTTCTGCTTCCTTCACTACCTCCCACCTCAGCCCAGGTTCCCAGACCTTGCTTGTAAAGAGTCCAGCAGGAACCAGGAGGGTTCCAGAAAATCACCAAGCCTGACCTCAACCAGCACCCCAGGGACTGGAACAGATGTCCCTATGTGACGTCCCTGTCTTCCTGTGTTATGTACAGTCTTGGGTACACACACTCAGCCCTTTGCATATCAGGAAGTGTGAAGGGGAAAACACACATACACACACACACACACACACACACACACGCAGAACAGTGGGAATGGGGCAGGAGGGGAGTATGTGCTGAGTTCCCTGTCCCCCCAACGAGGAGCCAGACAACCCCAAAGAGCAGAGGGTTTAACTCTCTAGTAGCTGACAGGGGAGGACTCCTGGCTCACGGAAAGGGGAGGGCTTGACTCCTTATCTCTGAGGTTTATCCTCTGAGCCTATGGCTGTGGAGGGTCCTGTCCCCTCTTCCTGAGCCCTCTAGCTAGCTATAGWCCTGGCCTCCCAACCCAACCCTCCCTCACTCCCACTGGCCTCTGCTCAAGACAGGATCAAGGAGGGGCCCAGAATGAACAATTTCAGGGGAGGGGTGGAGAGGATGCCCAGCCTCACAATTTTGCCTTTGAGGCATAAGCTGTTGGAAAGGCAGGGCAGGGAGGAGCTGTCTTGGCCCCTAAATCTGKTCTCTTTGCCCAGATGAAGAGACCTAACAGGGGCGGGATAGCATTGGAGTGGCAGGCCTCTGATGAGGGCATACCACCCCTTCTTTCAGGGAAAGGGCTTGACGACAGGACAGGATCCTAGAAGCCCTAACCCGTCTTCTCTGCCATCACTGGAGACACTAACCGTGTCATGTAATGCTCAGGTTCTGTTCTAAGAGCTGTAYGTACAAATTCATGTCATCCTCATAACAACCCCATGAAGAGAGCACTATTTGTGTACCCAGTTTACAGATGGAGAAAATGAGGCACAGAGACTCATTCACCTGCTGAGGGCCAAGAGCTAGTAAGCAGGCAAGAGAGGATCCACAGCCAGGCAGTCTGATTCCTTTTGGGTAGGCACTGTTAGTAATGACAATCGTGCTCTCTTTGGGAGGTGGGTATAGTAACCAGTATATAAGGTATTCTTATGTCTGCTTGATGGTGTGCCTGACTCCTAACAGTTGAGTGTCTTCAGTAYCCAGAAAGGTATAGGTCCCCAAGAATCACCTGACCTAACCCAGGAAGAGAAAGAAGGTAATGGCATTGCTGTAGCCCCAGTTTTAGTCACCTGCAGTCAACCACTGTCTGAAAATGTCAATATTTGTTTTGACTCTTCAAGAGAGACAGGCCACATTCCCATGCTTTTTATTATAGTATATTGCTATAATTATTCTATTATTAATTATTGTTCTGAATATCTTGCTGTAATTGATAAACTTTATCACAGGTGCGTATAAGTAGTGAAAAAAACCACAGTATATATAGAATAGTATATATACTATGTATATATAGGATCCAAGGTTTTAGGCATCCAGTAGAGATCTTGGAACACATCCTCTGTGGACAAAAGGTTGCTAATGTAGTTTCATCTTCACACAAGGAAACAGAGGATCAAGGGCTTGTGCGTAGCTTTCCAAAGACGCTTTCCAAAGACAGTGGTTTTCAAACCCTCAACATGCATAAGAAAGAATGTGGAGGCTGGGTTGTGGCTCGGTGGTAGAGCACTTGCCTTACCCAGTGAGGTACTGGGTTCAATCCTCAGCACCACATAAAAATAAATATATAAAACAAAGGTATTATGTCCATCCACAACTAAAAAAAATTTTTTTAAAAGAATGTGAGCTTATGCATGCATACATATGCATACAGATATATATGTGCAACAAACCAAAGGTTCTTGATGCACATTGATATTTTCTTTCTCCATTTGTTTTAATATGCTGGTTCAACCCACTACACTTTCACTGCCCACTAAAAGGTGCAATATGCCTGCAATTAATGGCAGAGTAAACACAAATAGCCTAGTATACTGTGAAGTATCTTCATGTTTCTGTAGTCATTCCTTGGGTAATAAATGTCTCTGGAACACTGAGGAACAACATCTCCCATCACKGCAAATACACGAACGTGTGTCTTACCTGTAAGACCGAGTTTCACTTATCTTCACTTACATTTTTTAACTCCCCCTTGTGCCCCAGACTACAAAGCGCCCAGGGGAAAGAACTTTGCATGCCGCAATCACTCTGCATAATATCCAGACGCATCTAATAAGCACTTTCTTCACACGCACAAACACCTTACATCTGCACAGAAGTTTGATCTTTGGAAAACATTTTCATGTTGCCCTCCCAATCTGAATCTCACAACAGTGCCTCCATCTTGGAAAGGACCCTGGAAGSATCACTGTGGAGGACTCAGGTTGATCTAATGCCCGAGTTGTGATGCTTCTCAAAACGACAGACAGCTTCCACCTTGCATTTCCTGACACAGGGTCTCTGGGCTGGTGCTGATGTCTTCCTTCCCAGGGAGGAGGGATGACTTGGACAGAAGATGACAAATATTGTCATCTTCTTGATGGATTGGTCGAGACTGCCAGGAGCACAGCATCGAGGATCATGGCCAGGCGCCCACCTGGATAGAGCAATGCTGATGCCCTGCTCATGGGCAATGGGAGCATTTGGCCCCCTGACCTGTGCTGTTTCTCCTGCCCTTCCCAGAGCAGGGTAATGAAGAGTCAGAGCTGAGGGCCCCATGCCCAGCAGTAGGCAGAGTCTCTGTTTGCAGGTTAGGTCCCCTTTCCTTTCCAACTCCAAAAGCAGTTCTGAGCATGACATTGGCAACAGGAGAATAAGAAGTCCCCACAGCAAATACTCACCAACAACAGGGCTTCCAACTGGTTAATGTAGATCTCTTCACTGGCCAAGAAGCCAGAGAGAACCAGCTTCCTCATCTCCAGGCCTTTCCCTGCCTCCACCTGCAGAAAGCAAACCAACATCCAACAGCTCATGAGAAAGAGAGCAAAAATCCCTAGAAGACTGTTGCTTTGTCTTTTTCTCTCTTCTTTTAACAAACTCCTTCAAAGGGAATAAGAGTCAGGCGTTATTACAGAAATTTTGAAAAATACAAAAATATAAAGGCAAGACCCTATTGCCCAAATTCCTATCCACACCTTGCTTTATTTCCCATCATTTTTTCCTTCCTTTCCTTATTGACTACCCACCTCTCCAGTCACCCCTCCATCCAACTATCCGTCCACCCATCCTTCCATCTAGCACCCTTGCCAACTTTGTCATGGTAAGCAGGACCACAAGGACCTGCCCTCATGTTTAGTGAGCGGTGTAATTGGGGAGAGAGATAAAGACACATATAATGGAAAATTAGTCATGACTGAGGCAGGCATGGTCACATGGGAGGGCACAGCAAAGGTCACAATCTAAGTTTGGGGAACAGACAGGGGCTCACAGAGGAAGTGACATATAAACTGGGGGAAACAGGCAGAGAGAATGGGAGTGGGCACGGGAGCCCCAGCCTTGTGACCATTTCTGATGAGATCTTCCTATCCCTCCGGGGGGATCAATTCCACCACAGAGGACCCTTCCCACTTACCTGTGGTAGCCCCCCAGCATTTTCTCATTGTATAAGCCACAGACCCAAGCTAGCCTCCTCCTGCTTCCTAAATTCCTTCTCTGTGGTGGAGATCATGCCCTGTCTAGCCTTGAATGCCCATCAACTCGCACAGAGCCTGGTACTGAGAAGGTACCCCCCAATTTTTCTTGGGTAAAAAAATGTGTAATTCTTCTCTTCATCCAAGATCCATACGAGGCCTTCCTGGCCCCTCTCTCCCTTTCCTCTACCACATTTCTAAAGTGTTTGACAACATCTTACATCAATTCTTCCCCTCGATTCCATCCTCCCCTCTGCAGTGGTTGAGACCCTGAGGCCCACTCAGCCACCTGAATTCTAACCAACCTCCACCCCCACTCTTCCTCCCCGCCTCCCGCCTGCAGTGGCTAGACCAGTCTTCCGAGAATGCCACCTGACGCCTGTCGAGGACCTCATATGATTATTATTTGTTCATTTACCCATTATTCACTCAATAAGTATTTAATGAATGTCTGTTAGGTCCTATAGATACAAAGGGAAATGAATAGACGAGAGTCCTTGCTCTTGTGTGGTTTATTCTCTAGTAGGAGAGAAAGACAACAGCAAACAAACAAATATACAAGCACGATCGGTAATGTGTGCCCAGAATATCCTTTACTTAAACACCTGCAGTGCCTCTCCCTAACCTTCCTCTGTTCCCCACGGTCAAGACATTGCCGTCTTTCCAACATACTAGAAGCGTCCATTCACTGAACTTCGGATCCTGACATTGCTGCTGCTTAAAGCCCTCTCCCACCTGGACTCTTCTCCTGACTAAATGACACCTCTCCTTAAAGAAGGAGCTGCCATCTTATCTCTTCATCAAGTCTCCCTGGAACCCCCCCCCCAGGCTGCAGCACCTTCTTACCTGCCCAAGAACTTCTGAGCTTTGCAACACCTGCATCACACCCCTCTTCCCCGAGGCCAGCACCACGTGATAACACCTGCCATTTACTGGGGGTTGTACATCTTTTCCACATTCTCAGCCTTCAAATGTCCCACTGAAATGGGTTCCGTATCTTCTCATTGTACAAATGGAAATAAATCATTTAAAAAGAGGGAAGGAAAGGACCCAAGTCACATGGCCAGGACTGGCAGAGCTGGGATTCCACTCCAGGGCTACCATTTCTGTGTTTCCACAGCTCTGAGGAATTCCCCAGTCTCCTATTCCTTTTTCAAGCATTGGGTGTTTGTGTGTTGTCTCAAACGGATCCCTTCTGGGCATATCCGGACGTCAGCTGAGAGAATGTATGACGCCGGCAGAAATTTCATAAAGCCCTGAGAAAAGCTACTGTCTCCTAACTGGACAGTGTGTCCCAGTGGATCCTCACAGGCTTTCCCAAGCTGCATTCTTCCCGCCTTTCCCACAGGTGAGGAGCTTCATTAACACTTTGTTTCCATCAGCTATACAACTGTCCCCAAAGTCTGAGCCTCAGGTAGAGAGAACGATGACTCCCCAGAGATGTCCACATCCTAATCCCTAAAATGTGTGAATTTGTTACTTTAATGATGGTGTGATTAAGTTTGAGATGGGGCCATTCCTGGGTTATCTAGTCCTCTGTAATCAAAGGGGTCTTTATAAGGAGGAGGAAGAAGGGAAAGAGTCAGAGAAAATACGATGTGACAAGAGAAGGAGGGAAGTGGGAAGACACTAGGTTTATTGTTGTTGTTGTTGATGTTTGTTTTGGGTGGTCCTGGGAATTGAACTGGGGGAAATATTATGACTGAGTTACATCCCTAGACCTTTTCATTTTTTTATTTTCAGACTGGATCTAAGTTGCCGAGGCTGCCCTTGAACTTGCACTCCTCCTGCCTCAGCCTCCAGAGTCTCTGGTATTAGAAGCGTATCACCATGCCTACCTGAAACTGCTACCTTTGAAGACAGAAGATGGGATGGGGAGTCATGGAACGTTGGGGGCCTTCAGAAGCTAGAAAAGGCTAGGAAGTGGATTCATTTCCTTAGAACTTCCAGAAGCCAGGCAAATATGCTGAGCCTTTTAAGACTTCTGTATAAGAACAGATCTATTCTGTTTTAAGCCATTAAGTTTGTGGCAGTTTGTGTGGACCCCCCAGCTTCTGAGAAGGACAATGGTTATTTATCAGTGGCTACAGAGACACCAGGAACTGTGCTAAAGGCTTTTTGCTGGAATCTCACAATCTGGAAGGTATTGTCATTATCTCCCGAGGCACACACAGCAAACTGCCAGCTGCTCAGGGACAGCACAGCCTCCAGCACACACTTAGGCACAAGATCGGTGCCTAGAGCAGGGCCTCTGCTATCCAAGCCTGACAGACCCCTCCACTGCCACATTCTTCCTGCTCTCCGCCAACCAAAGATTTGCCTGAAGTCTTGGTAAATGCTCTCTAAAGGAAATCCCCTGGGGCACACTTGGGCTGAACAGGCAGAGCTGGTTGGACTAGGACCCCAGGTGATTGGCAGCCCCAGGCCCCAAGAGGCCCTCAACCTGGCACCAGCAAGACCCCTTAGCCCTTGTGCCTGTCATGTTAGCGGAGCCTCCCTTCAAGGGTCCCACCTCAAGATCCAATCCTGAATGCTGGTTTTGAGGGGACGGCTCAGGGAAGAATCCCCACTCTGGGCTACATTCCTTCTGAAGTTTTGGCTGAGATCGGCTAGAGGCATTAGGGAATTTAAGGATGTGAAATTAAATTCTGTCTTAAATTTTAGTAACAGGCCTATTGCTCAGTTACCACCTGAGACCTCTTCCACCTTTTCTTTGCTTTCTCTAGACCCCACAGGTTCCTGGCTTAGAATTGTTTCTTCAATCCTTCGGGGGGCTATTCTTGTCTTATAAACACCAGGGCTCAATCTTCACTCATTCCTTCTCTATAATGTGCCAGGCACTGGGAACACGAAGGTGAAAGAAACAGTTTCTGTCCACTAACAAGCTCTCCAGAAGGGCCACACAGCAGAATCCCATGGGCAAGTGCTCTGAAGAGGTCAGTGCCTAGGCTCTGCCATGCTGTTGCAGTGCCCAGCATAGAAAGACCCCCTTCCAAGTGACACCGTCTCCTCCTCTTCTCCAAGCAGAGCTCACAAAACGCAGCCCTGGTGGGCTCATTCATCTCTAAGCATTTTACACGACCTGCTCAGATGAAAGTCTGACCGCTTGAGACTCCCAAATCAAGGACATCAGGTCATTATGGTAGGGACAGTATCTATAGATAAACCTTAGTCAGCTCTGGCTTGGGCTTCCACAGAGCTAAATAAAGCTTCTGAAGGTTTGGTTCTAGGCCAAACCAAGAAACAATCTCTCCAGGAGGCTTGATCTCCTCCAAGACAACAGTAAGGACTGAACAGGCAGGGCTGGCTCTCTGGCTGTGTTTCAAAGCCAGAGCAGAGACTGCAGACAGCAGGACTCGGCCCATGGGCCCACATCACTTTGCAAGGAGCCCCCAGTAGGATTTGCCCAGAGTTGATACCACTGGGGCCAGGGGTTGTGCACATGCCCAGGGGCTTACAACCAAGCCAAGCATCAACCTCAGGACAGCTGGCCTCTCTGAGGTCTCTTTCAACTACTTCCTCAGCAGAACTCAGAGCAAAGAGGGGAGGGGATGGAAGATAAAAGACCAAATTCCACCTGCTCCCTCTCTTTAAGACACACGTTCTGGTGTCTTAAAGCTTTAGACAGAAACCATGAGGGCTAGGTAGTGTTTGGGAACTTCCGTTGTCCCTAGCCCAACTTTACAGCTTTGCCAGACTCTCATACCACTTACTATTGTTCTTCACAACGACTGAGTTTTTTTAAAGCAGAGTCTTATTGTAGGACTTATTGAAGTCATAGGAAAGATGTACAAGTGATTTTTTTTCTAGTTATACATTAAAATATATACTTAACTATTAAAGTGAAAAATATATATCCAGGTGCCACCTAAAATCATCTTTCAAATCACCACCTATGGGGCTCACACTTCAGGAAACACCCCACAGCGGACAGAAGCAGGGCCCTTACTGCATGTGGAGGCAGGAGAGACCTGGGCAGGTGAAACAGAAATACAAGCATTTCAGATAAACCATTAAAACTTGGCACAGAATAACACCTGAAGGGTTAATCTGCTCTACAAAAGGGCTTTCATTCCTGACAAATGAGTTCCTTGAAATAGCAGCTTCCACAAGTCCCGGCCCGCCAGCCCTATGAACCTTTAAATAGAACTGCACGAAAAGATTTTGGGAAAGTATACACCGTTTTACAGATGGGAGGTGATGTTGCTATCAGTATCTGCATTATGAGTTTCCAGATCATTAACTCCTCAAAAAGAAATCTGGGTTGAGAGATGCAGCAAACTCCAGCTACAGTTCTGGAGAAAACCACTGCCGGTTTCATATCTGTCCCCCAGGAAGATGAAGCATTTCGGAAATTACACTAAAAACAGGATTGATTTATAGGACTGGCATTTGGGCACATGCTCAGCAACACAACTACTGTTGAAGATAAATACCCCTGAAGCAAAGTAATAGCAAAGAGTGAATTGCCTTGGATTCCTACCAGCTGCCTTGGAGGAGTGAGCCAAGATCATCTGCAGCCCAACACATGACGGCACCATCCAGAAAGGACCCTTGGCCATACACACTGGGGACACACATGCATACACGTGGGGCACACGTGCACCCAGTCTAGCCCCGACTCAACAAGAAGTGGTCTCACCTCTGAATCTGGTACCCTTTAATAAGAACACGTCTCTTTCCTTGACTGCTTTCTCACTATATCTCTGTCACCTGTGCACTCGCCAACCCTTACTCTGCTCTTTGTGAGGCAAGACTGTGCCTCGTTGACCTCGTTCCATCCTGGGCAGATGCTCTGAATACAACATAACCTGACAGCATTTGTTGAATGACTCGAAGAGTTTTCTTTCCCCATCTCCACAGACCCTGCTTGTCATCTGCCTGAGGCCAAGCCTGGTGAAAGAGAAGGGCTTTGGAGAGGTGTTCAGGATGAGCCAGGGAGCCTGAAATTTCCCAGCACTCAGGAAAGAACCCCTGCTCCCATGCTGGAGACAACTCCAGGAAAGGAGAAAACTCCATCCAGGCCTCAGGAGAGACAATCTTAGGAGTAAAACGTGTCTGTCCAGGCCCTTTATCAACCACATGCTACCTCCTGAGAACACCTCTGAGAAACAACAAGGCCAAGGTACACCCTTTGCAGGTCCCAGTGAGGCTCACTGGTTTCACAAATTCTCACTGGCACCAGCCACACACACAGAGCACCATGCTGTGTTCATTAGTGAGGACAACATGGTACTTGCCCTTGAGGAGAATCGGACATAACAGGAGGTAGATGTCTACAGTTCTGGACAGAGTGAAGCATGAACTAAGACCGAGGTGTATGACAGAATCCAGGAAAAGGGTGGGTGCAGGGTAGCATGTAGCGGGGACTACATCTGTGCTGGGGAGGACTTCTCAGAAAAGTCCCTTAGGAACCCCACTGATCTCCCATCTCACACATTGCTAAGCTCCGAGCAGGCACTCCTGCTTCACGAACAGACTTCTCCCCCATTCCGTTCCTGGTGAGGAGCTTGGTCAGACACTAAGTCTGCAGAAGCCTCCATGTGACTTACCCCCAGTGCTCCAAGCCAGCACCAGATCAAAGCACAGGGGTGGGGTGCCAGCCCCCGCCAGCCTCCCAATGCAGCTCTTCTGCAGCCACTGCTCCACCCAGGCCTGCAGTCATTGCTCCACCAGGACTCCGCTCATCAGCCATCTACCTACCCTGGGTCTGCAGGCTATTTCTGCCTCCATTAGCTCCTTCTGGGAGCCACACTCTAGTGTGGGTGGGGCAGGGCCGAGATCCTCATCTGATGGTGAGGAAAGACTCAGAGAGGTTCAGAGACAGCCTCCTATCCCCAGCAATGCTCCCTGCACCACGCCCTCTAGGGGCCCACCTGCTGTTAGCCAGCCTGACTTCACAGTATGCAAACTCTGCCACAGTCCTCCAGGGCTCTCCCTTCTAGCCACAGAAGACAAGATCTGAGCAATAGCTCAGGTAAGAAGTGGGTCCAGGTGAAAGAAAGCCCAGCATGGTCTATCATGCCAGAACTAGGCAGAGCTGGTGTCCCAGGGGGTGTGTGCCCCCAGGAGAGGGAGGAAGAAGGCCAGGGGATTGGTGTAAACACTCCCCTCCTGCTCTGCCTCCAGGAGCATGGCTGCAGAGAACCCTGAAACCCAGGAGTGGGTAGGCTGGTCCAGAAGATGCTTCTTGCCTATGCCTACTTTGGGAAAAGCGCCTACCTATCTGTCTGGTGTCTCAAAGGCAGCTGCCACCTCCCCCCTCTTCAGCTGATTCAACTATTTTCATTTAAGGAAGACCAGTGGCCTCTGGCTCTTGACCTTTGCAACTGCTCTCTTGCCTCAGTCAAGACACTAAGTCCCCAGTACCCTCACTAGAAAGAGGGGTGGCTCCCTTAGCCCACACTTCTTGAGTGCCCATATCCTCCGGTTGCCATGGAAACAACGAATTATTGCCCACCGGTTTCAAGTCAGCCAGCTCCTCTGGGGGAAGCAGGCTCCCACCACTGACAGCCCATCAAGTGACTCGTGTCACGGCCAGAAAGAGCCCCCAGCACAGCTGGCTGAGAGGAATGCCCCGAAGTCACTGCCCTTAAGGACAACTGGTGCAGGAGGAGCACGCACTTCACCTCTCCCCCCAGGAACAGCTGCCAAAAGAGCACAGCCCTCGGTTCCCCTCGCAAGCATGCGCCAGCCCCTCTCTCGCAAGGAGTGAGGTGCTTCCACTCAGCCATGAGGCTTGTGCACACACCAGCCATTTCTGCCCGCACACGGCTTTGGCGGCAGTCGAGAGCTGCCAGCCCTGCCCCCCTCCCCGACAAGCATCTAGGGCGTGTCACATTCCCACCTTCACAGCCACCAAGAAGGGGGACCCTGAGCCGGGGCTAGTCGGGGTTCCCAGCTCACACTCCTCCAGGAGAAATACATCTTCATCTTCCAGAACCTTGTCCAAAAAGCCTATTGCCTCTTCTTCCTCTTCCATGGCAGCCGGAGCCCGCGGAGGGCAAACAGGAAGCAGGGTCCACGCAGCAGCAGCAGCAGCACCAGCAGCGGCCGCCGCCGCCGGGAGAGAGGCAGGCAGGCAGGCAAGCGGGCGGGAGGGAAAGCGCGCGGGGCAGGCCTACACCAGCATGCTGGCCTCCCCGGAGTCAGTCCTGGCACCTGGCCACCGGCTCCCGATGAAAGGCTCCATTATGAACCTTTTCCTGCTGCCGCTTTCCAGCCCTCCTGGGCGCGGGGCTGCGGGCCCGCCTCCTGCGCGTCCCCACCCTGCGAAAGGGGAAGCCTGGCCTTCGGGTAGCCCCTGCCGGCCGGCCGGCAGCTTCTCGCGCAGAGTCGGCCTCCGCCGGCGTTTCAGGGCTGTCACCCGGACCGTGGCGAGGCGGGCGGCGCAGCTGCAGGCGCCCTCCGCGGCCCTTCCTGGCTAGCGCACCGGTCCCGCGCAGGCGGGGCCCCGGACGCCGCTCRGTCCTCGCGCTCTGCTCGCCCCGGCCGCCCCGCTGGCCGCTCCGTCCCGGCGCCCCGCCGCCGCGTTCCCGGCCCCACAAAGCCCGCCCTTTCTGGACTCGGAGGCTCTCGTTTGCTCTGAATACACAGGAAATGCACGTCTTGACTTGCGAGGTGGAGCCGTTCGTTCCCTCTGTGGTCACCGGGCAAGCGGCTGGCGGAGGCTTCTGATGCGGAGGAGGAGGGAGGGAGGAGGCCGCAGACAGGCCGGGCGGGCGCAGGGGGAGGTCTGCTTCCCAGAGACAGGCTTTATTTACAACTTCTCGCTAGAGCCGGCAGGCAGGGGGAAGCAGGAGAGTAGCTTAGTCGCACAGCCGTTCCCCCCCCACCTCCACCTGGTCACCACCGGTCACCGTGGGAATCTCATGAGCCGGAGCCCCCTTCGCACCTTGGCCTCAGTCTCCAACACCTATGCCAAGGGGAGGCCCAGGCCCGGTGAGAAACCACAGTTGTCATCCCTACCTCGGCTGGATGAACAAGACTTTGTAGGGTGGGGGGGAGTGGGGAGGGGGGCACCTGTCCTGCCTCACCCCCAACAAGAGCTGAGTGTCAACCAGAGTCCTGAGCACGTGTCACCTGGCGCTACAGACCAACCAGATGTCACGTTCCACCTGTGAGTGGGGTAGCACCCACTCACAGGTGCTACCAAGACTGGCAACGCCACTTCCTTGGAGGAGTTTCCCCTCAAGAGGGGCCTCCACCAACAGAAGAATCTCTACAAGGCCAGGACACCTAAGACCTAGGACAGGTAGCATTGCCAGTTCTGCCCATTCCCAGCTTGCTTCTCATCCTTACAGAAACTAAATTCATCCAAAGGGTGAAGCCCCAGTGTAGGTCTCCTAGCYGGGATCCCTGAGATGCACACAACTCTACTTTCAGGGGAGAGGAGTCTAGAGGCAGTTCCGGGAACAGACTTTCACCACACAAAATCAAGGACAATGATGACAAACACTAGTACCCCTGAGGGTGCAGGTGAGGTAATCAGTGAAGGAACCAGGTAGGGCTGGGCAAGCTAGATAAACCTCCCTGGCTCCAGCTGATGGCTGCTAAAGGTAAAGCAGGCTCCTGATTGCCTTCCTCTGTTGAAGTGAGAAATCTGGATTCTTGGGTGAAATCTCCTGATTTAAAAATGACTGCAAGGGCTGGGGACGTGGCTCAAGCAGTAGTGGGCTCGCCTGGCCCAGGTTCGATCCGAAGCACCACATACAAAGATGCTATGTCTGCCGATAACTAAAAAATAAAAAATATTTTWAAAAAATGACTGCAAATAATTTGCATCTTTTAAGAAACATGATGCAGTTTAAGTGAACGGCATCTGTGACCTGAATTATTAGGTCCACCGATTACAGGGCTGCCTTTATTCTTGCAATGGGTTGTTTCTTTGAGGAAAAGTTAGGACTCTTGTGTGGGGAATTTTCCCTGAGTGTCTCCTTTGCCCCATTTCCTCACTGGACCGGGTATCTTGGAGTCAAATTCAGCTTCACACACTACTAAAAGACCATTTATCTGTGTAAACCTGTATCTTAGCTTCCACCAACCAGGCAGTGCAGAGTCTGAGGCTGTCTGTCAGTGCCTGGTGTGTCCATGACCAGTCTCTCATGCACATATCACATTCCCTGTCAGGTGACAATTGTACAGCCACAGGATAAAGAGTCAAACTGTCAAGACCATTTCCAAAGGAAGGTCAAACTGGGCACCATCCTGAGCTCAGGTGGTACCAACTTCTCTCTGCTTCACCTCCCTGCTCAGCACCTTAGATGAGAACAGCCCTCTGCTGAGCCACCAAGCTGGGTGGAGAGGAGGAAAAAGAGAAGAATGGGCATGGTTTCTATCCCCATTTAAAAAAAAAAAAATTCTGTAGAAGTTCGGAGCTCAAATGGGGTTCCTGTCAATCTCTCAGTAGTAGAAAACCTGTTCTTGCTGGTCACAGGCTCCATCTTGTTACCAAATACAGAGAGATGGGATGGGTTATCTGGGGCCCTAGAGACTGTCAGGCCTTGGTCAGGGAACTGTCCCCTCACCCCAACCCCCTCTCCCTCCAGTCCCTGGTTTTTCCCTGTCCCTGCCCTGGCTGGGTTATAAATAGCCAGGGCACATATGAAGGGCCCTTTCAGCCACAATTCCTCATTTGGTTTGGGCGGGTAAGGCTGTTCCCAGGGTTTGGGAACAACCAGGCCTGGCATTCCCCAGGGCACAAGTGTGTCAGCTTGGGGCCTTGTGCCACAGGTTCTTCTGTCTCCACCCTGCAGGATCCAGTGCCTGGCATGAGCTGCTCACATGGGTCAGACAAGCAGGAGGCATGAGAGAAGAGCTRGAACTCCAAGGAACACTAGGTGTCCCTTCCTCCACCCAGGAGAACATGAGGTGCCCTTAACAGTCTTTTAGAGTATACCTATCTTTATTCCTCACACCCCTAGCATGGTGGGATCAGCACCCAATTCTTCCCCCAAACCTTGAACCTCACAGAAGCGACTCACTGAACATCCAAGGCATCTCTGCTCCACCCCACTCCAGTGGCCTGGAATTTCCAGTGAGTAACTAGAATGCCCCCTCCACCGAACTCCTCAAAGGCCCTCAGTCCTCTCCCTGGAGGGGGAGTGACTCACAAGTCCCCAGAGTGCTCCCTCCCTTTCCTTCACAGATGCCCTGAACTGGAACTGGGCTTCCTCTCTGTGTCCTCCACACTCTGCCTGCTTCAATCTGGCTCCTGAGCCTCCTCTCCAGAGAAGCAGCCACTCTAAAGGCCCCCAACTGCCTGCTCCAGAGGCAGAGGCCCCCCCCCCCTAAGATTCACCTCTGCAGTCTGGACTTTCTCAAAACCCTCAGTTCTCTAGGCCATGGAGTTGCAACTTGTGACCACTCCTTGGTTTAGGCTGGCCCTTCTTTCTCCTGCCCCTATACATGTGGAGGCCCCCACTCAGGCCCCTGTGCTCTATCTTTGGAGAACTCATCCCTTCTTAACTGCTAGGCCGCCAGCAACTCATCACCATCCCCAGGCCCAGCATCTTGCTAGGCTCTGTCTGTCTGACACCTGCACTGACAGTTAGATCTCCTCCCCTGGGAGATGCCCAGGCAGCCTCAACTCCACATATCCAGACCAGGAGGCCCCTCCTCCTCCCTAAACCAGCTTCCCCTTTTGGCTTCTCCACTTTTGTTGGTGGGCCGCCATCTCATGGCTCTTCTTCCTTCTGGTCCTTTTACCAGATCCTTTGGTTCTTCCTTTTTTTTTTTTTTTCTTTTTTCTTTTTCCAAATTCACCAACCAACCAAGATTTGCAGCATTCACACCTACACAATCCCAGTCACTTGGACTCCCCATGTCATCTGTCATCTACCTGTTCACTGACTCCATTCATTCATACCCTGAAAAGGCCTGGTAGGACAGACACACGACCCGAAACAGCACCCCTGCCATTTGGCCCACTCTTGATCCACTGAGGCTGAAGAATGTCTGAATAAAGGAGGCACAGTTCTCATTCATCAGTCTCGATGGGAACACAGGACAAAGCCACCAGTCCTGCCAGAGGGGGAAAACTTCACAGGAGAGTGGCTTTTGGGTGTCAATCTTTGATTGAACCCAAGGGTGCTTTACCACTGAGCTACTCCCCAGCCCTTTTCATTTTTTGAGACAGAGTCTTGCTAAGTTGCTAAGTTACTAAAGCCTCAAACTTGTGATCCTCCTGCCTCAGCCTCCAGAGTTGCTAAGATTATAGGCCTGTGCCACCATACTCAGCATAGGGGAGGGTTTCTAAGCACAGAGAAGAAAAGTTGCCTGTGTGTGTTTGGGGGTGGTGGCACCGGGGACTGAACCCAGGGCCTTGCATATGCTAGGCAATGCTCTACCACTGAGCTACCACCCCAGCCCTTTTTATTTTGTTTTGAGACAGGGCTTTGCTAAATAGCTCAGGCTGTCCTTGAACTTGTGATTCTCCCGCCTCAGCCTCCAAGTAGCTAGAATTACAGGTGTGTGCCACCGTGTTTGGCATGAAATGGTTTTTTGTTTTGTTTTGTTTTTTAAGGAGAGAGGAGGGAGAGAGAGAGAGAGAGAGAGAGAGAGAGAGAGAGAGAGAGAGAGAGAGAATATAAATCTTTTTTGTAGATGGACACAACACAATGCCTTTATTTTTATGTGGTGCTGAGGATTGAACCCGGGTCCCACCCATGCTAAGCGAGTGCTCGAGCCCTCTACCACTGAGCCATAATCCCAGCCCCATGAAATGGTTTCTTAAGGAAACCCAGGAGACATAGAGAACAGAAGAGAAAAAGGCTAGGAGACAAACAGGGAGAGGCTGGCTGGAGCCAATGAGGCACCCAGACCAGATCCACATCTCTAAGACTCCAGTGGATTACTCCCCACCAATGGCCTTCTCTCACACTCCTCCTCCACCCTCCCAGTCCCTTACTACTCAGTCTACAAGTCTGCTGTGCACCAGGCAAGCACCGTGCTCACACTCAGAATGCAGTCACCAACAGGAGATACTGTGTTTACCTGCATGGAGCTAATGGTCTCAGCAGAAGAATGACCATTGTGCTGACTCCCAAGGCAGAGCCAAGGGACGGGCAGTGCCAGGGGAAGGGCAGGACTGGGGAGATGGCACATTTTAGAACTATTCAGTTGAAGTGCCATTGCTCTGGAAGGGGTAACATGGAAATGTCTATTGTTGATTTTAAATGTTCACACCCTCTGACTCAGCAATTCCACTCTAGGGAATTTCTCTGAAAAAAAAATACTTCTAGAAGGACACAAAGATATATATGTTTAAAGATGTTCATTGCTGCAATATTTATACCGATGAAGACTGAAAAGAGCCCAAATGTCTATCAAAAGTGGACTGATCTGGCAGGGCAGAGTGGTGCCTACCTGTAACCTCAATAACTCCAGAGGCAGAGGCAGGAGGATTGAAGTTAGACACCAGCCAGGGCAACTTAGCAAGACCCTTTCTCAA